ATATAAGTTAACTTACTATTAGTGAGTAATCACGAAGTATCAAGGTTTATCGCGCAACAATTGCACAATCTCGATAAATATAATAGTCGACAATAAAAATAAATAAAGTAGATCTCACGATCCCGGACCGGTCCTTCAATTGAATTCTGAGCTCCTCGTGTCCATCCTTTGAACCCCTTTTATACTCCTGCCGACGGCGGTTGAATGGCCCTTTTTATGTCGACATTATGAACCGGCCTCATTTGCATAAAAATGGATCTCTGATCGGCCCTTTTCTCTTTGGATTTTGCAATCACCAAAAATCCAAAGGGAGATAAAAAACAAAAAGAGCCGAGCTCTTTTACTGAAAGATAAAACACTCTGGGACATCGATTCCACCAAGTATGCTTTGACGTAATTGGATGAGGATGAGTCTGATCGAAATACCACTAATTTATCGGAAGAAGATAAGGCTAGAAGTCTTCAAGACGAGCGCCATTCCTCTCAACTATGTATATAAGTCCACCCAACTTTACTGCCAGATCGACCCTCCAAGGTTCACACCTGTTATGCCTACCTATAGCAGTATTAATCGTAAAAATGAAAGTCAACATAAAGGAAATTAATCCCAAACAGCTCAATTCAGTGAGCAAGAAAATGATGGAATCCGTAATTTTCTTCGTGGACGAAAAGCTTGCTACTTATGCAACACAACATATGGCACAGGGAAAATAAGACGAATTAACCTTAAATGCTTCCAAAAATGTAGCAATTGCGGCGTAAAGCGGCGACAATGCCCATGGCTAGGGAGCGTCGAGTCGTTGATGTACTGCTCGACATGCTCTACATTTTTTGGTTTTTTAAACAGTTCATTAATAGCAAGCCAGTAGCTCTCATCTCGGCTTACAGTGCCGTAACTTCAAGAACCCCTTGCCAGGATTCAGAGCGAGCATCCCAAGGCCAATCAGGCCCATAAAATTGACATTACGACATTTGGAGCGAACATGTTTGGTTCCGGTGGAAAATATACTTGATTTTAGGGCAAAAATTGACCGAAATTATAGATTCAATTTTTTGAAATCGATAACAAGTCCTATAATTGTCCGATTTAGACAGTTCTTGGATGTAGAATTCGTAGACTTTACGAAGGATCTGATCGAGACCGACCGCCGATGCAATTTTTTCGTAAGACAGCATACCGTGGACCCATGTGACAGTCGAGACAACTGCTATAGGTGTGGAGGTCGGCATCATACCTCGTTATGCAGCGTAAAAAATTCCTTTCCTAGCTAGCAATATAGATTCAGGAGAGAAACAAATCTGGCCGGATCGAATGCCGGGAAAAGGGGGGGCGAAGGAATGTGAAAAGATGCCAATACAAAAGGGCCAGAAAAACAGCATTCGGGGTACGGACCGGCATAAAGAATCAAATCTCACGATCCCGGACAGGATCCTTGTTAAAAACAAAAAGAGAACTCTTACAGCAATGTATAACGTAAATAAGCTAGACATTCAATAAAGTCATATTACATGAAATTTAAACCAACTCAACCATTTTTATTAAGAATAACGTTATTGGCTTTTTCGCCATTTACACGCTGTCTTACTGTAGGTTTATTAACTTCAGTTTGGCTTTGAGATGTCCTCGGGGAAGACATGATATAGGTTACAATTGACCAAAATTACAAATTCAATTTTCAAAAAATCCAATAGTGGTCCCATTTGTACAGTTCTTGGATGTAGCACTCGTCAGGATCTCGAAAAAGTACGGCACGATTACCAAGGTCAAGGCTCTAAAACTCATGTAGCCATATGGTAACTAGAATCCCACTGTTTACTTCATGATCCGCTAGTTGAATGTCTTCCATTTCCAATTCACGGCAGAAAAATACTTGAAAAACTTCCTTGTCTGCATGAGCCTCTATTGACTCCTGCTGCAATAGCCTTCTTGCCGTGAACGGTGGCTGTGCTACCATTCCAATTTGCACAAGATAATGCTGATTATTCAACGTTGAGCATAGAATCAATAACGTCTACTTGATCATTCTGATACTATGGACGTGAGAATTTAGGGACGAATCTTCAATTAAAACAAGAAATCAACATGCTTGGGAAAGGCTTCAAGCTCAGGCTATGGCTGATGAGAGGGAGACTTTATGCCACCTTTTTAGGCCCAACTTTTTATCCATATAAAGAAGATCGCTGCAGAAACAAAAAACAAGTAATCTCCACCGTCTACATTGTATATATGTTAAAAGCATATATACAATATGTTAAAAGCATATATACAATATGTAGATGTAGAAATCGAGCTCATCAAGTTTACATGATTGAATTGTTAAAAAACGAATACGTGAACGTAAAAAAATGGTGCAGTTCAATTCAAGATACTATAAAAAAATGTTTTTCTGACTGTAGGTAGAAAAGTTTATAATGCCGTGCTCGTAAGTCAAGATATCATTTGGAAATTGAAAACACAAATAATCTGTTTGCAAATCGTAAGCTGTTCGAGGATGCAGAATACGGCAAATTTTGAGCCTTTACACAAACGAAGATGTGGTGCTTGATACTTCCCGCGTAAAATAAGGCTGAAAGGCCCAAGCATCGAAGACTATTATGAATAGAAAAGTCTCCAAAAGCAACACAGTAGTTCTGCAAACCAACTGTCGCACCGTGAGCGGCTTCACTTTCTACTGAAAATTTATTGCAAAAAATAAAATATCGTAAAATTAAGCACCGAACACATCGACAACTATGCAATTGATAGAAAAATTTCGTCGCCGACAACGACAAGAGAGAGAAAAGAGATAGTCGTATAAGATCCCAGTTCACACCTTGGCGTTTTTCATACGCTATCTGTCTGCGTGATGCATAAAAATGATGGACGCAGCGCGTGAAGTCGCTGGTGGAGAATGCTACGAGGAACTACGGGACGTAATTGTTTTCTAAAGTTTTGAGTTTACATATTCATAAACTTGTCAGTAGATCAGGTGGACAATTACGTAAAGGTAGAAAAAGCATAGAAGTTTGAAGTCCAGAAAGTGAAGATGACCAACTCGGCATGGCTTTTTGGTAATTGGTCCCGAAATCTAGAGATTGTGTTTTGTTTTTTTTCGTGTTATGCAGGATGGGAAGATGAAGATGTTTCAGTCTGGATAAAATAAAGAATCGATTGGCTGTGAATCATAAGGATTTAATTCCCTTATATACCTAAGTTAAGTTATCAACTAGTGGCAAGGACGACCTGTGGTAAGAACCTTACATTATTTATTCTTATAGCTTTTCAAGACGGATGTGTGGGGCAAGAGTTCAAAAAGCCTACGGTCAAACATACGTCTCAAAGTTAGTATTCGTAAGCATCAGTACAGTCATGATTGTCATCACACAGAGCTTTAACAAAAACATATGAAATTTTACACGCCGTAAAATACGGGCAGAGAGATTTTAGGACCTAACCTGTTATTAACTTCTTGAAGAGAGTTTGAAGACACCAAGTGTGAATGAAGTTCCCGATCAGTTGAAGTCCACGTGTTCGTAGATGCGTCATCAGTTAGACGGGGAACGGTCGCCTATTTAAGGGTTTCCCATTCGAACCGCGTCTCCTTGCATTTCTTCTCAGCAAAAAGACATTTGATCGTAATGCAAATCAGCCGTCTCGATTCCAAAGCTAGAATTTGCTGAACTAGTCGTAAGCGCAGAAACATTAAGTTTGAGGTTGTCCAAAGACAGTCACAACTTCATTCACACAAGTACCAATACCTAAGAGTAATCACAGTTGATCAATTATTCTACTGCAGATATGAGCGCCATCTGCAACTTCCATGGCTTCTCTGCTGCCTCTTTTACGTACAACATGCAAGGATAGCCACACAACTCTTTCAGGGAGGTAGATTGAAGAGGAACAAAGGATTCTAATCATTTCTGTGTGTCTACTGTAGTCTAAATTATATTGCTACCTATTTAGAAATGTTATATGGTGCAATGGTAAAATGCTACGCGCAAAAAAAACACAACTGACCGTAAACGCTCTATGAGAAAAACTCCAACTATGTGAAAGGAAGAGCGCGGTTAAGGAAACGAAGCAAGTGCTGGTAGAGATCAAAATACGACAAGATGCCTTGGCTCGAGAAATGAAGAAGATCGAGGAGCGCTTTACCGAATCCTTGGAAAAAACCGCTCAACCGTTCGTACAAAAAAAAAGAATTCAACCGCAAAGATGGCCCACACTGAGCTATACGAATATATTGCCTGATCATCGAAGTTGTAAACTTGCTGCGTAAATTCAACGGACCGGCAATACCATAGGCAATATGTTCGTATGTAATGCTCTAAGCACGATAAAAAAGTGACATGCACGTATTGAATACCAAAAAATATTCACGACCCACGTAAGTCAGAGACATGCACATACGGTACGATCAATTCGTAAAAGTTTACTGTTATTAATGTAGGTGATTCTACGAATGTCCTTTAGAGTACAGTATAATTTACTGGCAGCACATTCCTGCCGGCTGAGGAGACGATAAAGCCCACTGTAGTGTTGGGAGAGAGGCGAACAGTCAGTTTTCAAACTTAAAAATTGCAGCTAAAAAACAGTGAGATTTATGACAGCGTAAATTTATATCCTGAAAAAGTCTATATGACAAACGAACTTGCTAGACGCGAGATACAAAAATCTGTTTGTAATTGAAAATAATCCTTAAAATTGCACGTTGATGAAGCATGTGAACTTGTCGTAATCTTTCAGAAATTAACTCATACGTCAAAAGAAGCAAGATTCAACGTAAAAAGAATAGTGATGTTTAAGAGTTTAAGAAGTGAGAAATTCCCAAGATATACAACTACCGCGTTAAAGAGCGGAACGTAAAAAAGGAATATGTTTTTGAGATCAATACTGACAAAGAAACCTCCAGGGCAAATAAGGGTGGTACCTGTTGATTGGCAAGTTGGGACTCCAAACCAAACATAATGGATGATATTATACAGTTGAGTTCCAATTTCTATCACCAGGTCTGCATTCTTCAAGCCCACATGGCTTGAAGTTCAAGATAAACTGGTAGCAGCGAACAATCGAAGCGCGGATCAAATGGCTCAACTGCCCGTTCACCGTGCCCAACTGCAATGTGAACGGACTGCAGTAGAGAGCCAAAGCAGGGGATAAGCATGTATAACAGCAGCACTGCAATCACAACCGCCGCCCAAGAAGAGCCATTGTCGGCGTTCCGTTCTACATTATGGTTTCTGGTTCGGACTTATGATCAAACCCAGACTATGAAACGTCTGGGCGCTGATGTCTTTGAGGACCAGAACACCCACATGTCCCTCGTCTCCCAATAAGACTCCCTGCAACAAGAAACTTATGCGCATGATATCATGGACGAAAAGTTATTCGTATAACATGACATATGATCGAGATAAATTACACAAGGCTGAGTGTTCACAGAAATGCGTGAACGTGGCGTAAAGGACCAGAGTACCCAGTTGAATTCAAGCGGCGTCATTATCAGCATTACAATTTTGATAGTACGAAATGGACAAAGAGTCGTTGGTTTCCCATGTTATCAATCTGAAACGTACCAGGACGTAAGAGACTGGAGAGATTAACCCAGTGTATCCTTTCTTCAGAAAACTCTCTTTGCTGATGCACCCCGACAAGGTGACCAATAAGAATCTGGTCAATCAGATCTTCAAGATGGCCAGTCAAGCATTAGAGCTGTTCTCCACACTCTACCACCAGAAATTTGGGGATCTGGTAGCCAGGCAGCGAACCAAGGCATGGCTTACACTGTCGGAGGTCCTCCCCGACACCTCTCCAAACCCTGGAGGCGTAGACCCTCAAAAAAAGGCCTGCTGTGAGAAGAACTGGAACAAACTGATGAAGAATAAAGACTGAGGAAAGAACAGGAAGAGAGAGACCAAACATACCATGATCGTATAAATTTACAGGCCGACGCGGAATACAAAAAGCGTCTTGAATTGGCAGGTAAACCTCATGTACAGCTGCTTTCAAGACTTGATTTCGGTCCTGGTAGATAAAACTTGAATAGACTTCTCCGTAACAGCGAGTTTGTATTCTCGCTTTTTAGAGCAGATGATAACTTTTTACTTCAACAAAAAGACACACAAAAAGACAACACCGCACAGGTCTGAACACCTCTAAACGCATGGAATTCACATTATGTGTAATTAAATATGCAGGCAACGACACTGTCCTCTGAAAATGTGAAAGATCCTCCATTGGTAGACAGGATTACATATTCCTGATTAGCCGCGTGCGGCCTTCCTGAAGTTTCTGTCGACAGAAATTTGTGGAAAAGATGGTAGGCTTGGATGACGAACTTCTTATGCGGCTCGTAGACATTCATCCTCTTCTTATCAAATTTGTCGTCTATGATGCTCTATGGGCTTTCGGCGGTATCTGGACCAGCTATTATAGCAGGTGAGCATTGAAGTTTCCAACCTTTATGGTAAAAACAAAAGTTTTTGCCAACTCAAATCGGGCCATAAAAATGGCCCACAACAGTTCACGCTGGCTAAGCGGTCGCGGAATGTCGCTGACAGCAGCCAAGGGCAGGAATAGGCCGCAAATTTCGTTACGGAGGACTTTAAAGATACCTTAACAACAGGAAATTTCGTAATGGAATCGCAAAGTTGATTTGAGTTTTCACACTTAGCGGTGTTATTGTCAAAATCAACGACCCTTGGAGAAAAAAGCAATGCCCCGGTATCAAGCGGCCATGAGAGCACTCCAGCCATTGCCGGAAGAACTGGCGATGCACCAGAGAGCCACAACTTTCATTGGCTTGGTTTTACAATTACGCGTAACACAACAACTATGCAATCTACGTAACAATCAAGATCACTATTGCCTACACGGCCCTATAATTTGTCTTCTAGCGAGTTACGATGGCACTGACTAGAGGCCGATACGGCCTCAATAATAGAACTGGCTTGAGGGCTTGTTATCAAGAGCTGTCTCTCTGGGAAGTCTGATTAAAAGCGGGGAACTGGCCAGAGCACATCTGTTTATTCTGGCCGCAAAACGCAAACGATGCTGGAAGCTCACCCGTAATCTTCAAAAAATTAACTCACAAGGGAATGGACTTTATGTGTAAATCGATTTTGGCTTGTGACATAGTCAGATCGAAAGGTGTGTGGTAGTCGATTATTCACTTGGGGGGAAATCTCTGCGCGGGGCTTCAAAGCCGAGAAAATCGGCTTCAAAGTTTGGACGAAAATCAAAGGAAAGAGATAGGGATCCCGGAAAAGAAGCGGTAAAAAGTGTGAAGCAGTGGCCGAGTGGTCAGTGCGCTCGCTTTTTGCGCAAAAGGTCGCAAGTTCGAATCTGCTTCCATTCATAACTTTTTTAGACAAAAACTTATATTAATTTTTTTCCACTGAACTCGATTATCGAGTCAAGAAGTATATTTTAAACGGAACTTTTCCATTTTCAACGGCTTCGCACCTTCCTTTTACAGTTTTAGAGCGCAGGGCACACCATCAACCTGATGTATTCAAAAACAACTTTCTATTATGTTAACTTTTTTATCTATACCCCTTTTTTAAATGTATAGCCGGATTAGCACAAAGAAAGCAAAAGTAAAAACGATAAATGATGATTTGAGCTTGGAAAGATTCGAACCTGCAACCTTTTGCGCAAAAGGCGAGCGCACTGACCACTCGGCCACTGCTTCACACTTTTTATCGCTCCTTTTCCGGGATCCCTATCCTTTGATTTTCGTCCAAACTTTGAAGCCGATTTTCTCGGCTTTGAAGCCCCGCGCAGAGATTTCCCCCCCAAGTGAATAATCGACTACCACACACCTTTCGATCTGACTAGGTCCCAAGCCAAAATCGATTTACACATAAAGTCCATTCCCTTGTCAGACAACGAAAGCAGTGTGAAGAAAAACTGTATTTTTTGCTTTTTTTGTTACAAAAAAACCGTGATTTTTCAAAGTGGACCTGACGAAGTGAGAAATTCCGAAGATTCGAAGCTACCGGGTAAAAATTTCAAAGTAACCATTAAACAAAAGCGCGTAAAGAACAGTTTTTTTGCATGCTTGCTGACAAAGAAATATCGCGGACAAATAAGGCTGGTACAGGTTGATTGGCAAGCTGTTACTCCAGGTATAACGCATCGTATAATATTATAATTATTTGGTGATCTTCTGCTGTTGAAAGGAATGGCGTGGGCGTAATATTTGGTCCCAAAGACGGTAGTAGATCCGAAGAGGGACCAAAAATACTGATTTCTTGTTGCAGTGGCCGGCCTTGTGGATGAAGCGGACGCTGGAGCCCTTGGGGAATACACCTCCGCAGTTACGTGCGAACCCTGCACTTTACGTAAGGGTTGTGGTCGTATCTTACTGTCTAAGATCAGCGACTAACAGTAGCACTGACCGTAAGGTCTGTTAATTTGAAATGGCCAGAGTTTTCGGCTTGATTGAGCTTTGAGCTCATTTAAGACCTATATTGTAATATTAAATATTAAATGATTACGATGACGGACAGACCGTAACAATCGGATGAAACACCATAAAAAAGCCCAGCTCTTTTACTGACTGTAGGGAGATGTCCCCGACGGCACGAAGAGGTCCTACCGCTGTCTCTCTTCAAAGCAACCTACCCAAGCTGCTACATCTACAAACAAAGAAGTGGTGAAATATATCGTCAAAAAATTGACGTAAGTTATACGATTCTGTTCCAGTCATCGTTGTCTTCATGTGCCCACGATCTGGGCAGAAGACTCCGGAAGAAGTATGGCCTGTATAACAGCACAAAAGAGAAGGGGGAGTACGGTCGAATCGGTGTATTCCGATCGCTGACACACAAGGCTCAGGAAAGATTGGCCGGTCTGAGTGGGGTGTTAACTCGTAACTATACGACACACGGCCATTCATGCGACTTTGGTCGTCCTGTAGACATTTATGAGAATCGCCTAACTTTCCTATCCCTTCAATCATTGTCCTTTCGTCGTCTCATATATGATAGAAAGCTCTTCTTTTTCGTTGTAAATGACTTCAACGACTTGTCTCTCGGTTGATCCATATTGCAGAGGAATATAGTATGGTGAGTAAGTTGTGAACGATTCAATAAAGCTTATTACAAAAAATTAAAACGATTCAAGGAGTGACCACAATCGAATCGTAATTTTCTTTATAAGTATTTACACGTGTTCTTAGGCTTTATTAACTTAAGCTTGACTTTGAGGCGTAAAATAAATGTTAACATTGGTTAACAATGTGATGAAGAAAATCATGATGGACATCTCCATCGTCTACCTGAAAAGCGACTCCTTACATTCAGATATATCAGTACGTAACTGCTCATATCATATTTTGTTCCAGCAAGCCATCGGAAAGGAGACAATTATAGTAAATAGGGAAAAAGGATAAGGATAAAGAGGCCGCGCAATGGCGTGATCCAGTAAAGGGACAAGGCACGGTAGAGTTGAAAGTACGCAAAGAAATTCTCAAAGATTTTATCCTTATCGTGCTGTTCGATCTTAAGAAAGGAATAGGCGGGGTTTAGGCCAAAATTAGAAGGACAAAGGAATGTGGCCTGATAGAGAGGGGGCGATCGAGGGCGTAGCCTGATCAGGGGGCGGCGGCCAAGGTTTGTACAAAAGGCCGGTGCACAGAGGCAACGGGGTCCGGACCTGGCAAGAGACTGAATCTCAGCCATTTTTGCTAAGTGTGTTATTCGAAGGAAGGATGCCGATCCTTCCTTCGATCGAACGGCCTCCGCCGGACGGGGCCAGAAGACCAGAAGACTACGGTAAGTCTAAAGAGTTAAAGACGAATTAACGCCAAATACCTCCAAAAATATAACAATTGCTGCGTAAAGCGGCGAAAATGCCCATGGTTAGGGACCATCGAGTTGTTGATGTACTGCTCTACATGTTCGACCGTAACTCCGGGAGCCCATTGCCGAGAGAGACAAGAAGAGGAGGCAATCCAGGTAAGCCGTTTTATAAAGTTTTAATTTGAAAGACCTCAGGGTCACAAGCGGCCTCGCATTTTATATATCATTGTAAAAACCTCAGGGACGGAAATAGGGGAATTAATTAGGACCTCAGGGTCACACTTCGCACACAACTAAAACTGTGAATGTTCAAGCCGACCCAGAAAGGTCTGAGTGGACGCTCTAGGGGATCAGCGGTCACTGTCTCAAATACAGCGTAGCAAGAGCCCGCGGCCCGTTGCCTCGGGGCCGCGCTGGTCCTCATGAACGCTCCGATAAGCCCTCCCATCAATAGGGGCCACGCTGCCCTAAGAAAACGCAACAACATTCACCGTCTGTGAGTTCTTTTTTTTAACCACCCAAGTGGCGGTGTATGACGTAAATTTCGTCGTAGAGCCGGATGTTCTGTACTACGGAGAGGGGTGTCGTAACACATTCAAATGACCAACTCGTAAAAATGGAGCCTCGAAAATCTGCAATGCCCCCTGCCTGAAGGAAAAATATTTTCGTCAAGATACAGTGGAAGACCATAAAAACATTAGAAATACCAAACATGGATATTTCATTAACGTAAAACGCACCAGAATTCATACAGTTAATGCACAGCGTAAACTGCTGTCAATAAATTTTGGTTTTTAACATACGCTGTATAATATAAATCCAAGAGAAAGTGGTATACTACTAGGTCTACGTGATAAAACGTTCGTAAAATTGGAGCCTCAAAAATCTGCAATGCTCCGTGGCTGAAAATTATGAATGATTGGATGAGATGACTCCGTGAGAAAGTATATTCTACTGTCGGCACATTCCAGGGAACAACGAAAAAGGTGATCATAGTCGCTCCTGTAAGATCCTGCCAGACTACGAAATCGGAAGCCCCGCCGCCAACCCAGGTATCTACACGTGGCGGGGGTACTCATTCAATTTAAGGTAGTTGACCTACCGCCCCTCAAAAAATGCCTCGCCTTGTTGACTGACATCGTCGACGAGATTTTTTCTATTGAAACAAGGTATGGGACTTTTCAAGCGCAGATTGTACTCTCCATTTGGTCTCCTCATTAATTCTTATTATTGTAGGGTTACGTTCGAATAAATAAATATATCTATAAGAACACTAACGTAACTCCATGAAGACCAAAATTGAGCCGCGCGTCGGCCAACCCGTTGTTGCGCAACTAGCGCAGTTGACCGGATATGTCGAGAATTGAGCCGCGCAAAATATGAGCCCAATTTTCCCCAAGACAACAAGTTTTGATTTATTTGGAAGCTTTTTTAGATTTGCGGGCACACAAATATTTTTAGAACTTTTTTTGCTCGCAAATATTTTTTCCGCCAAAAATCCGTTTTCCTGCTAACAAATCGGCCTCAATTGCCGTCAAAACGATCCTAGCGCTTAATCTTGACATTGTAACCAAGGTTTTTTCATTACAGTGACTCACGAAAGATTTTAGAGCATTTTTTATCTGCATCCAAAAGTTTTCAAACTTTTTTTGCCCGCAAATTTAGCCGAGTACTTCGATTTCTCATTCCATGGATCGGAAAAAAAATTTGGAGCATCCCTCATGGTATGATAATCTGAACGTAGTTGAAATTTATTTGTTTTAGGAAATGCAGAAAACCCCGCCAGAAGTTTTTATGATTACGTGAAATCCATCACTCAACCATGTAAAGCAACAATCGGCATCGCACATAACTCTGGTCGCTACGATCTGCATTTAATCGTAAAACATATCCTGGCTGAAAATCGTAAGTTTTTTAGTACGAAAAAAAAACTTTTTTCGAAACTTATATTACGGACTATAGTCTGTTCGTCTGTCAAGTTTTGGATCTTTGATCAGCCTTCTTCTCTTTAGATTTCCTGAAATCGTCGACGAGATTTTTTCTATTGAAACAAGGTATGGGACCTTTCAAGCGTACAGGTCTATCGTGAAGACCGAAATTGAGCCGCGCGTCGGCCAACCCGTTGTTGCGCCAGTATAACAGGATGGGCAGATACGATGAATTGCCAGGATGCGTAAAATCCGAAGAACCAAAAAGAGCCCAGCTCTTTTACTTATATAACTGTGGGGAGACTTACTAGACGGTACAAAGTCCCATCACTCTTTATCTTCAGTGGCGGGAAGAGAGACAGTGGCTTAACGAAGCGACCTACCCGAGATTACGCCTGAAGAAACATCACTACATGCGTAAGAGGGCATGAAGTAGCCTGATCCAATTTGTATTTAGATTTTTGTGTGCAGAGGTACGGCCGCCTCGGAGGTGCCAGCTAGCCGGGCTGACTGATCAGCTTGGGTCAGGTTTAAAATGGAAACCGTCCCAAGCAGAAGTTCTTAATGAACGCCTTGTCAATAAATATCCCGCTTGAGGGGTTAAAAAATGATGATGAATGGATGTTTCCAACGCAAGGCGGCCCTTCTAAAACGAATCAGCCTAATATTAGGGTGTCCCATAAGTCTTGTGTATTTTTGGGTTTGAGAATTAAAGTCTCGTTTCGCAGGCCTAAATGAATGCATCCCTTAATGTTTGGCATTGTTGAAACCGCCATCTCTTACACTTATAAGCAGCATAAAAACTTAAAAAAAAGCAAAAACACAAGAAGAGAGTGGGCAAGGGAGATGAGTCTATCGAATTTGGTGATTGGTTCTATACATGTTGCTATAAAAGACTTATCAAAAAGTCTTTAGGTCAAAAATTAAAAGATAAAAAATCCCTTTCTTTCTAAAATTATCTGACTGTCTATATCCTTCCCTTTCTAGAATTTTCTGTAGTTTGCAGCAAAGATAAAAAATATGCAAAAAATATCCTTTCTTGTTATAAAAACAGAGAATATCAGATTACGAAACTGATTCCGATAAAATCCAGAAAACTCCTATATTGTAAACCCTGTAGAAAAAACGCCAATAGAATACTATATAAATCCAGCCAATTTTGTTAGTGATATATGTGATGTGAAGTGATAGAGAATAAAGAATAATTAGGTATTGTGCCTATTGTAATTGATTCAACTACCCCTACTCTAAAAAAAACTATATTGCGAAAAAATATGGACAATAATAAGTCATAATTTCAACCTTGTGAGTCATGAATCGCGACTGAATGCAAGGAGGAACGTAAGAAATGCTACCACGAGGACTTGGGGCGAAAAAAATGCTGACCAAAGGACTTGGGGCGAGATCTTCTACTTCCAGAACCACTGGAGATTCATCTTTTTCCTGTCTTAGCCATTTTAAGAGGCTCCATCACCTTCATCACGCTTTTTTCAAGTCCTCAGTAATTTCTTAGCGGTTTTTGAGCTATATTTTTGGTTGCAGCAATTAGATTATGCGACTGCTTTTTCCATTACGAAAAAAATCTCGTAAAAATCTACCTCGGGCAATGTTACAAACCAATGGTTTATTTGAAGCCAATGGCGGCTTCAGCGACGCTAAGAAGCAATAATTTTCCTCTGTGGTGGGCATATTCTGTGATAGAATTTGAAGACTAAATAAATAAGTCGTGATCAAGCCGTGGTAATGGAATGTCTTATTGAGATATTACTGCAAACCTTGGTACCTTTCATATTGTCCTGTCGTCAATGTAGTTTTGGCCGTAATTTTAGCATATATTTGAACACTATCGACAAGTCATCACAACTCTGGAGAACCAAAAGACTAGTCGATTCTTCAGCGTAATGAATAAAACACATCGACGGAACAGTCAAAATTACATTTAGTTTTGACTATGAGTCTTTATTTGGCCTATCTCTCAGTGTCAAGCCTACTTATAGATGAGGCAGGAACAATCGTAAGGTGCAGCCATGGGCAAGATTTTTATTTTTTACATTTTCGGTGGCTTCAATGCGTCTTCACGGGATGGATAAATGTAACGTACAAGAAGATTTCTATTCCATGATTCCAGTCGTCATACTACAAGCTGGCATGGAGCGTAAATCCGTCAGGCCCAAGACGATTTCTCTATCCCGTAATAATGATTGCAAGTAGAAGTGTAACAAATGTTATCAGGAAACCTTTGAAGCCCGGGGCTTCTCGATGAGAAGGTTGGGCAAACTGAACTCAATTTTCCCGAACCGTAAACCACTGGAGAGAACGGACTCTAGTTCAGCGAACTTCTGGAAGCGATGTATGTTGAGAGCACCGAACAGAGTTTCCAGGCCAGATGAATGCAAAATCTAGGCCGCCGAAAGGCCTTCGTATGCCCAGTTATTGCGATAACAGTCGTAAATTGCCCGTATATCAAAAATTACCTTGCGAAGAATATTGATCGTATTAGTCGATTCCGAGCAACGACTAGCTCATTAGCTAGCTCGTTGAGGTGCTTCGGACGACAGAAAGCGGCCAAAAATATTCTGAAGATCCTGATGGTCTTGTACTGTGCTAATCATCGCTGCTAGAGCAAAATGGGATACGCCTTTGTGTGTACAATATCATTGACGAGGCAGGCGTAATAATGCCCTCTTATATCGAACAAATCAGGGCCTAACTTACGTATATGATTATAAAAGAAAGTCCTGACATAACACTGTTATTTTCATTGATCCAAAGGCAATCGTAAAAATGCCCCTCAGGCAATATTACGGGCATAACAACAGTTTGTTTGAAGCCATTGTCGAAAAGAGCAATAAACGAAAAAATTGTTTTTTTCTCGAGACAAAACATTAATGATTCTCAAGAAAAGGAATTTAAGCAAGTGATGAGGCAATACTATAAAAAGTGGCACGCTTTGCTAGATTGCAACTACATCGTAATGGACTGTGAATACGTCGGTATACCTTGGCATTATAATCAACATAATGGAAAACGTAAGAGGGCGCACAGCAGCCTTATCCAATATATATTTAGATTTTCGTATCTTGAGGTACGATATGGCCACATTGGAGGCCAACCGTGCCATCTGATAGCCGCACTGACTGATCAGCTTCTTATGAAAACATGCCGGTAAATTTCGTAAAATGAATTTACCCGTTGAGTGCTAGTCAGAGCGGTGTGCAGGGCTCTACCAACTTTTCGCGATAAAGTCGTAAAACGAGTAAAACTTTCTGCCTATAACTTTTAGTTAGGCTAAGTTTGTCTCAACTCAGCTATTCAAGGTGGCTCTTGAACCTTAGTAAAGGTTCAGGATTAACTAGACAACTTATAAGTTAGCTTACTATTAGTGAATGAATGCCCAAATCACTAAGTATCAACGCTTATCGCGCCACAATTGTACAATCTCGATATAAATCTATTACATTGGACGATAAAAATAAAGGAAATTCATATTCCACATAAAATGTTCAAGCGCAATCGGCGTGCTGAAGTTCACAGTACAACTATTTCTAAGCGATATAGAGCTACCACCGTAATGTTCTTTTCCTCGGAGCAGTCGGAAATTTCGCCAGGAGAACTGAAGGAACTAAGTCTATGTTCACACCTCCGACTTCAAAACGGATATCACCTAACGTATTACATGGCGCCCTCTTTATTATACCACGGCCTGGTGCTGCATCCGGCGACAGCATTCCCGCAACTGCGTCCTGGCCTTCACGATGCGAAATTGAGCCTGTATAACCCTACAGTGTTCAGGATTAACTAGACAACTTATAAGTTAACTTACTATTAGTGAATAAATTCCCAAGTCACCAAGTATCAAGGCTTATCGCGCCACAATTGTACAATCTCGATATAAATACAACAATAAAAGTAAATAACCCCAGATCTCACGATCCCGGAGCGGTTCTTCAATTGAATTCTGAGCACCCCGTGTCCATCTGTCCTTTCGAAATGGAATCGAAACGGAACCAAGGAACAATCAACCGAGGGCTTCGCGATCTGTCAAGGACAAACCCCACTTGGCCAAGGAAAACCCCCCGCCAGGCCGAAGAAAAACCCCTCCAGGCCAAAGACAACCCTCGGCCAATCTTACCATATAAATCCCCGACTTCTTGAATAAAGGATCGATCACTTTACTTCATTAGTGGCCTTGTCCAGCATGAACCACTGTGAGGGACAAGAATTGGAGGTCGATCACCGAGATTCTAAACGCCCTCGCATTCTTGCGCCGGCCATACCTACAAAACCGCTCTACGCCCCTAAAAAACCTACTTCTGAAAGTAAGAAGGCGCGCAGGAGTCGGATCAGAAGATCGGCCGGGGGACCCTTACGGTACGCGCCTGAACAAAGTACGCGCTGTCTTTTCCCACAGAATCGACCCCGACGGGTGATACTGTAAGGTCTACGGACCAGAAGGCCAGCGTTATTTGGGGTTTTGGGGAGGGGAACATGGGAGAGAAGGTTGTTGGGTCCACGGACCGAGTTGCCCGCTGTCTAGTTAGTGAGTCGCGACCTGTCATATTTAGGCTTTCGCAGCCAGAAGTGAGATATGGCGAGCTGGGAGTCCAGCCGGGCCAACTCGCGGCCGGGCTGACGGACCAGGCCGGTCCTGGCAGAAAAAGGAACCCCAACGCGTCCTCAGACATTGCGCCATCCGCTCCCGGGATTCCTGGCGGACCGGGGGTAGCTGTCGACAATTTAGTTGAATGCCCTCTTACGCCGGCCAAGCCTAAAAAAGAACCCCTTTCATACTCCTGCCGCTGGCGGTTGATTGGCTCTTTTGGTTTCATAACTCTTTCGACATTATGAATCGGCCTCATTTGCGTAAAAAAGCGGCCCGCGGGACTTGGGATCTCTGATCGGCCCCGTTCTCTTCGGATTTTGCAATCACCAAATAATCCGAAAGGCAGATAAAAACAAAAAGAGCCGAGCTCTTTACTGCATCCTGAGGTACGATATGGCCACATTGGAAGCCAACCGTGCCGTCTGAGAGCCGGGCTGACTGATCATGCTATGAAGAACTTCCAGTAAGGCTCGTAAAATGAATGTATCTGTTGAGTGCTAGTCAGAGCGGTGTGCAGGCTGTACCAAGTTTTCGTGAAAAAGTCGTAAAATGGAGCCTCAAAAATCTGAAATGCTCCTCCAACTGTCGAGGCTTAGATTTGCTTTCAGAGTTGCTTCCTTTTTCTTCAGCACTTCAGTAAAAGAGATAGGCTCTTGTTGGTGCCTTTTCTTGCGATTTGTAAATCTAAAGCGAAAAAGGCTGATCAAAGATCCGTAATATAATATGTAGTTTTTGGCAACGTTTTCTCGGTAGTTTCTAAACATGGAGGTGTACTTTTTCTATTTTTTCAGAAGTCCTCTGCCCCGATTTCCTCATTATGACGCCTTTTTGCCGCTGATTGCAATCTTTTTGTCCGTGCTGGACCAGGCCACTCAAGGGAATGAATGTGTTTTAGATACCGGGGCGCGGGAGCAGAAGCGTAAGTGATCTACCACTTGGAGATAGAAACGGACCGGCCATTATTGCAAACCTGATCGACCAAGAAATAGTGGCCTGATCCAATTTGTATTCAGACTTGTGTTTACAATATCATTGACAAAGCTGACGTAATAACAACAACTATTATCAAACAAATCAGGGGCTAAATCATGTACATGGGTATAAAAAAAAGTCGTGACATAACAATGCTTTTTTCACTGGACAAACGTAAAAATGACCCTCAAGCAATATTATGGGCAAATCATTGGTTTATTTGAAGCCATTGTCGATTTGAATTGTTCTTTTCTTACGACAAAGCATTGTTAATTCTCAAACGGAACGTTGCTCTACAATTTCTTGTCAATTTCACCTTCGTGGTTACTGTATAAAAACCAAATAACAACTCGGAAAAGTTTGACATACGAACCGGTAGCACACTATTCTCCGTAAAAATGGCACAGTGTCAAACCTCTTCGTAATTTTGAGAGATGTTGTTCCAGCTGCAACGCCACCTAAGCCAGAAACAAATATCGTGTAAGCTTGATGACTCTCATACGGAACGTTATTCTAGTACAATTTCTTACTAATTTCACCTTCAAGGTTACTGTATCTAAAAAACAGAAAACCCCGGAAAAGTTGGAACCGTCACTCCTCATCGTAATTTAATTGATGATGAAATTTAAATATTCGTAACTCTGAGGGATAGCGTCTTCGGGAGCTGCAATGCCACCCAAACTAGAAACAAAGAACGTGCAAGCTTGAAACAAAAGACAAAAAAATTACATTGAAATACTGCTTGTTGCAGTGTCCAACATTTTTTCAGTCACATCCCTACCAATAAGGATATTATTATAATAATTCCTTTATAAAAAAAATGTAACAGTAGATTGTGTGTGAAAATTTTTGGTGGTAAACAAGTCATTCTTAACTGACAGTTCATCTACAGGTAATAATTTAACCGTCAATGAACCTATAATCTGCTATGACGTAAATTTCCCGAATGGTGTCAACAGTAAAGGGACAGATTATGGTAGCGTTCAAAGAACGCAGAGATTTTCCCAAAGCTTTCTTCTTATCGCGCCATTCGAAGTTGGAGAAGTATTTGGAGGAGTTCAACATCGAAATCGACAATGAGGATGAAAGTTCAGAGAGCCAAGGAGAGATCAGACATTCAGAAGAAGGAGAGCGTTATGCGGAGTTTGGTGAGTTTAGGGGTAAGTTGAAGCCTAAGGGCGTTAAAGGATTGAGTTATGAGGGGATTGATGATTTTAGCAGAGCACTACTGGTCAACGTGGTGACAAGGGAAGCCGTACCACGAAGGCCCGTCACCCGATCAGCCACCGAGAATACCGGGGCCGTCCTCCGAGAAAGGACGGAATCAAGCGTAGACTGTAAGTCTAAATGACACAGGAATTGAAAAAGGGCCCTCTTCACCTCCTAAGGCTTCTGGCGGCCTGGGAGGGGGAGTTGGCGTCCAACTCAACTCAGATAGACATAAGCCAATGTTAACGAGTATGGTATCTTTAGAAGACTATCTACCCTGGTTTATTAACCCAAAGAAGAAAAAACGTAACGATCGATGAGCCTGATGGTCAGGGCAGACGGAAATTATTGTTGCAAGGATAAAATTAAACTGTTTTGAAACACCTAACCTTATATGTGCATATAGTATATGTAGACCTAAAAACGGCCTTAACATCACCGCTACATGCACGCAAGATCAAATATTGTAAAATATAATCCAGAAGACAGACACTACCAAGAGCAGATCTGTAAAATATGGTGGTTTCAGAAAAAAGCTGACATACATCGTAAAGAAAACGACTATTTGTCTTTTCTATTAAGTCAAAGAAAAAGCGTAACGATCGATTGATCTGATGGTCAAAGTGATCGGAAATTGATATTGTAAGGATAATCTTTTTCACTAGAATTACTGTAAAGAGGTCTTTCGACTTCGCGGGTTCAGACCGCGTAACATGTAGGAATCTCACCTCTGTGGTGGCCATATTTATAACCAATTTTCAATCGTATTTTTTCTACACAGTTTGTATTATGCTATGTGGTATAAATAAACAAGTAATAATCATTTTCTTGTCCACACTGGAGAGAGAAATCGAAGTGCTCGACTACGAATACATTGCCGATGGAAGACAAAAAAAATCAAAAATGTCTTCGCCGCACTCGAATAGAGGCGCTTTCGCCGATCATGCCCCGCCCCCCAAAATACGTTATAATAAGATTGTTCATTTTTTGTTTTTGACTAGCTTTCGGGAGAACCTTTTTATATTCCTACAATAAAGCTACATGCTGTAAATCGGTAACAAAAAAACGTAAAATGGAGAGTCGAAAATCTGCTATCCTCTCTGGCTGAAGCAAAAATATTTTCTTCAAGATACAGTGGAAGATCATAACAAGACATCAAGTATTTCCGTTCGTAGAACGCCAGAAGTCATTCAGGTCACTGCGTAAACCGCTGTCAATTAATTTTCTTTTTTTACCATAGCCTGTGTTTGTCAGTTCAGATGGGGAGATGTGAAATCAATTCCAGGTCTTTCCCTTGAATATGAAGGTTTGGAAGCAAGCGTAATTGATGTGGAAGACAACCAATACTATGGGTACAAAGCTGACGTAATCAACGGAAATTTGCAAGCGTAACTTGGATTGCGGTGCAACTATTTACTTGTAGATCTGGAAGGAGAAGCCTCTTTTAGGAACTATGGCGTAAGTATCCGGACTCCAAAGGCTTTTGTCGCTTTGGATGCCTTCTTGGTTAAGTACAAGGAAGAATGGCTCAAGAGTTTGGCCGGGACCCCCGATTTTACGCCTGACTCCCATGTATGGCCATGCTGAAGATGTCCAGCAGTTGAAGGCTGATCTCGAGCGTCATAAGATTAACTACACTCAACACGAAAGAAAGTCAGACTTCACCAAACAAGGACGATCCACGTCAAAAACAATATGTCGTAAAATGTGATCCATAATACGGCGAAAAAACCCGGCAACTTACGAAGCAGTCCCTACTCTGTCTCTCTTCAATGCAATCTACCGGAGCTACGACACTTACAAAAGCGCAGAGGATGCTTAGGATGCTTTTCCGTAAGTCATATGATAATGTTTCCATAACATTTCACTCAACATTGTCTTTATAACCATAGTCAAATATCAAGGAAGTCAATCTCCCGTAATTGCCAACGTGAGTTTTTCTTCGCAATTGTTGAGTGTAAATCGCGGTATACGGCTCCTTGTTCATTTTCATTTTTCTGATGATTTGCAATAATGACCGTGCTGTGTAACGGTCTTGTTTATTATAAATATTAATCAAGCTGAAACAGACTATTTCTTGTCGCAGCAACTACATTATGCGACATTTCGTAACGTGACCAAATCCGCCAGTCTTTTGACTTTGCCGCCTTTGCTCCACGGACTACAGTCGCCTTCACGCTTGCACGGGCGATCATCATCCTCGTAAATCGCGCCTACGTACGGCACAAGAACCCCCAGCTTCATAAACTTCTGGAAACCGCCGGCATCTATACAGGCGGCCACCTCTTTCATCAGGATAATCCCAGAGAAAGAGTACTCTGAAAGTAAAAGAGCTTGGCTCTTTTACGCTGGAGATCTGATGCAATGGAATTGCCCACTTCCAGCACCAATTCAGTGCTTGGAAAAGTATGGCTTGAGAAGTCTGTTGTCGACGCTTCTGAATCACGGTCGTCAAAGTATCACGAAGATTTGCCTCAAGGTCACCTACAGATTTGCGCCGAGACTGGCCAGTCTAATCTCCACACTGTGATATGCTGATGAACTCCAGTGGCCGCTGGGCCGATTCGAGGATCCTGCATTCGCCGCCGCCTTGCCGGATATGTCCGCCTACGCGCCAGTCGGCTTCTTACATGTGAATGGAGTCGAAAGGAAAGTCGGAACATCGTGGAGGAACACCAATCAATTTTTTGCTACATTGTTAACTTGGCCAAAGCACGCCTATTTACAATTCTTAAATCCTTCCGTACCACAGACTGGCAACTTTTGATTTTGGCTTGTAAAACGTATGTTAGACCTTGAGATTATTGTTCTAATTTCTGTGCCCCATATCTATGTAATTAAATATGTAAACATCGTAGAGTGCCCTTGAGAAATAGAAGCATGCTAGTATGTATCTGCTTGCTCCGTTCTGAAAGCATGGAACTGAAGTAATACAACGACAGTTGCCGTAAGAATTTGAAAGAAGAGGTTTCAGTTGATTATAATACATAATTTGCATAGTGGATATACGATGATATAGACACAATGTGGTAAAAATGATATATGATTGATACGATCATATATGCGGAGGTGCCCCATGAAGTGGCTATGGAGGGCTGTTGACAGTAACCTACCTCACCCTGAGCTGTCTCCGCGACATGCCTGTAACGACGCTGCAGTAACCGCGGGTGAGGTAATGTACGTAACCAAAGGACATGTCGATGAGAAGCCTGTTCACCTTTACACATAGAAATTTTCTCTTTTTTAGACACGTTCGTAAATCAGCGAGTGTCATTGCGCGACAAGAGCATGTTGTGAGGGCTGAACTCGAGCGTCATAAGATTATCTACACTTGACGGGGTTGCAAGTCAGACTTCACCAAACAATGACGATTCACGTCAATCATTCCATTAAAAAAGATCCAAAACAAATTCGTGGCATGACATGCTGCTCAGACGTGGGCTTAATGATTGTAATGTCATAAGATTATCTATACTACTTGACAGAATTATTGTAAAAATGAAGCCTCGGAAATCCGAAATGCTCCGTGACTGAAGCTGATGAAAGCTTGGATGAGATGACTTCGTGAAAAAGTATACTCTACCGGACGACACATTCCAAGGAACAAAAAAGGTGATCAGAGCAGTTCCCACCGCTTAGATGTGGACGAATTTGGCCAGATGAGATGACTCCAAGAATAATACGAGCAGAAAGGGATCGTAATTGTAAAGTATCGTATTCTAATTTTCAATCGTTTGGTTTGTCCCTAAATTTAAAGGAAAGTTCTGACATTATCGCACTGCTACTTCCACAACAAAAATATCGCAAAATGTGATCCATAATACGGCAAAAAAACCCTGCAACTTACGAAGCAGTCCCTACTCTGTCTCTCTTCAATGAACCTACCGGAGCTACTACACTTACAAGAGAAAAGACGATGCCTGGGATGGTTCGCCGTAAGTTATACGATAATGTTTCCATAACATTTCACTCAACATTGTCTTTATAACCGTAGTCAAACATCAAGGAAGTCAATCTCCCGTAATTGCCAACGTGAGTTTTCCTTCGAAATTGTTGAGTGTAAAAACGCGGTAGACGCGCTTCCACCGGATGCATGGGCAGGAGGCGTAATCGTTCAGTAACTTGCCCCTACACTGATGGATACAGGGAGGTCTTTCACAGACGGGTCAATGCACACAAAAGAGCGTCCCGATGCTCCGAGCCTCCTTGTTCATTTTCATTTTTCCGACGATTTGCAATAATGACCGTGCTGTGTAACGGTCTTGTTTATTATAAATATTAATCAAGCTGAAACAGACTATTTCTTATCGCAGCAACTACATTATGCGACTGTTATTTCTGTTACGCAAAAAACTTTGCCGTAACTTTGGGAAATGGCGACGAATATGTGCATGTAACTTTGGCAAATGTGAATGTCACTTCAGAATGTTTGGAAGTATTTCCAAAAACAATTTTTACCAAAAAAACACTGATTTCTTGTTGCAGCGGCCAACCTTCTGGATGAAGCGGCCAACCCCACTTCCAGCACCAATTCAGTGCCTGGAAAAGTATGGCTTAAGAAGTCTGTTGTCGACGCTTCTGAATCCCGTTCATCAAAGTATCACGAAGATTTGCCTCAAGATCACCTACAGATTTGCGCCGAGACTAGCCAGTCTAATCTCCACACTGTGTTATGCTGATGAACTCCAATGGCCGCTGGGCCGACTCGAGGATCCTGCATTCGCCGCCGCCTTGCCGAATATGTCCGCCTACGCGCTAGTCGGCTTCTTACATGTGAATGGAGTCGAAAGGAATGTCGGAACATTGTGGAGCAACACCAATCAAATATTGGTGGCGGTGGAGTTGGCCGAGCTGATGTTCATGGAGATGGAAAACTTCAGAAGAAGCAACAAATCAATGATGGTGCTGATGCCTTACCAGGCGGCACTGAGAGAAACGCAGCCGCTGCTTCGAGAACTACAGGAGAAGTACCATCGTGCCAAAATCATCAGTGGAACGGTGGATCAACTTCCAGTCCGAGAGGCGGCGGATTACGCCGTCTACGTCACCATCAAGAAACTGCCAGGAAAGGCGGGCCCATCATTCGCTACGCTGGGTCAGCGTGTGACCGTTGCATTGACAAGAGGCCGCGACGGCCTTTATATCATCGGCTGCAGGCCTTACATTAACGCCGGCTCCTATGAGATGGCCCAACTTCTGGACTTAAATGAACTCTAAGTTCATTTTTCCCAGTCGGCGGTTTGCTTTGGCGAACGGTTGAGGTCCGCTTTGTGACTTTTGTCGTAATCAGAGGACCCGGCACAACGTCGAATTTGCTCAGCCTCTTGTCATGATTCTTTCTTTCCACCACCACATTCGCTACATTGTTAACTTGGCCAAAGCACGTTTATTTACAATCCTTAAATCCTTCCGTACCACAGACTGACAACCTCTGATTTTGGCTTATAAAACATATGTTAGACCTTTGTTAGATTATATTGTTCTAGTGTCTATGCCCCATATCTAATCAAATACATATGTAAACATTGTTGAGTGCCCTTGAGAAATAGTGGCCTGCTAGTATGTATCTGCTTGCTCCGTGCTGAAAGCATGGAACTGAAGTAATACAACGACAGCTGCCGTAAGAATTTAAAATAAGAGGGTTCAGTTGATCATAGTACATAATTTGCATAGTGGATATACGATGATATAGACACAATGTGGTAAAAATGATATATGATTGATACGATCATATATGCGGAGGTGCCCCACGAAGTGGCTATGGAGGCCTCTGGGGACAGTAACCTAGTTCACCCTGAGCTGTCTATCCGACATGCCCGTAACGAAGCTGCAGTAACATCAGGAGAAGTAATTTACGTAACCAAAGGGCATATCGATGAGAAGCCTGTGCACCTTCACACTTAGAAATATTCTCCTTTTTAGATACGTTCGTAAATCAGCGAATGTCATTGCGCGACAAAAGCATGGTGTGAGTGCTGAACAAGGTTTCTCAGGCCCATCGATTCTGAGGCCACCCCAGAAGCGCTGATAAACCGAAAAGAAAAAAGAAGAAGCCGTATTCGAAATCGCCAAGTTGCCGAGGAGGTCAACGAAGTTAAGGCGACTTTTAGCGCGGCGGAGTGTCGCTTCAACAAAGACGTAAAGATAAAAATGTTTTGGAATGAATGCTGATTTTAAAGTGGCAGATGGTCATCTTGATTTTTCTCTTCATTTAAATCATCTTACAGAGTCAAAATTGATAGGTAAAATTTTCATGGGGAAATTATAGGGCCTGTTGTATTTTCAATGTAATTATAAATCATATATCTATATCCCGCGATATTTTTTATATGGTTTGTCAACTCAAGTTTGAGGATTAAAAAAAAATTTTGGAACATCGAGTTCGCCGTATTAATTGTCTGGACAACCAAGTCAAAACTAATCGTAGGGACAATCAAGTCCAAAGAAAAACATTGTCGGAGCAGAAGAGCTCCTTTGACGAACTGGGGGCTCAGCCAGTGATCAAAGTCCGTTCAAGGAGAACAAAATCGCCGGTGTGCTTGTGTTGGTGAAGAACAAGATCGCTGGTGTCATCCGCTGGTTGAGGTATGGTGATCCATGGTGAAATCACTGACAAAAGGAATCGAGATAGCAATTAGTACATACGTCCACACGTAACAAGTACATGTCGCACATATTTCCCTCGCTCTTATAGGTCTACTCAAGCGTCGGGACAATCAAGTCCAAAGAAAAACATTGTCGGAGCAGAGGAGCTCCTTCGACGAACTGGGGGCTCAGCCGGTGATCAAAGTCCGTTCAAGGAGAACAAGATCGTTGGTGTCATCGCTGGTGGAGGTATGGTGAGACATCAAACTGTACCAGATATATTCATGAAAGTTGTAGATCGTCTGTCCACCCCGACTATTTCTGGAAGGCAAGGGTGGCATCGCTCCGGCTGCGCCAGCTCTTTCTACAAAAGAATCCAGACACAAGCACACTTACTGGATTCTTGAGCGTCTCGGACGACCCAACAGTTCTGAACCTCCAGCCAAGTCCTACGGAGAGATTTAATCAACACGGCTGGCTCGTCCTTGGAAAGCTGATGAAGCTTTCCACCGAAGATCGAGCCATCAGGACATTCTGCGTCCAAGCCTCTACGCCAGGTAGATTTAATATTTTAAAAACCGAGTACTACATTCGCTTTAATTTTTAATTCGAAGACAACCAGCTTGAGGCTGGTAACTTCAAATAAAATTTAAATTTTAGGCCGCCAAGAGCCTTCTTACCCTATGGGGATGCGAAAATATAATACTACAATTCACTCATCGTAATTAACAGGAAGGCCTCGATTGTGTAATAACAGCGTAGCGGTTGTGTCCACGTGCTTTTCGCGCGGCTTCCATTGTTCGATCATCGCAACTACACTGGATATCGTAAAAGGGTATAAAGCGACAACGGACCCGGTGCCGCAAAGGAAAGACGGCCGAGACGGACGTGGCTATGGAAGAGTGGGCCGTCATCGATCCGGCGACTGTTCACTTGAAGTGTCAGCTGTCGTCAGGCCGTTTATTTGCTTCAATGTTTAGAATTGTGCTCGAAGTACAAGTTGCGTAATCCGCCTAGGGCTGAAGGCCTCAGAGCTTGTAAAAAAAAAGATTCAAGGAAATACATGTAAAATCGTAAAAGAGGAGCAACAACATCGCCAAATTTTAGTCAAATTCATCGAATATCGTAAAAGCTATTGTTAATTGAACCGCAGACTCATCATGCCTTTTTGAAACAAGGCAATTAAAGAATACCCATAAATAAGTTCTGAAAAATTACTGATTCATCCATAAAAAACTTAGTAGACTGCCCATAGTAGTCGCAATTGGTTGCAAACACCATTTGGAGGTAAATCAAAAATGTCTGAGTATGATTTTTGAGAAAAAATACAAAGATTTTAATTCGTTCCACTTCGTAAAAGTTGATATAGGCACACTACATCCGTAGTATCCCCGGCGACTGTTCACTGAACTGTCAGCCGTCGTCAGGCCAAGAAGCTGTTTATTTTCTTTAATGTTTCGCATTTTGCTCCAAGTTTTCGATGCGTAATCCGCCATCGGACCAAGGCCTCGTGCTATAGCTTCAGTGCGTAAATACCAGTTGTATAATGCTGCTTAGGCACAGCCTAAAGGTAGCACCAATCCCAATTGGGATTTCTAGCTCGACTCCGGCCTCTTGGACGAGTACACACGGGCAGTACTGGGGTGCTCCGTAACCGAGTTTCCGGCGTTGGACGCGGGTTTCCTGAAGAGTACTGATTTCTTGTTGCAGCGGTCAGCCTCATGAGCGAAGCCGATACACGAGTCCTGGGCGTCGTAGGATGCTCTGTATCAAAAATATCCAAATATCCTGTTTGGGAAGAAATCGAAACGCTTTTAAGACGTGCCATCTTGTAAAAATTGCCTTGAGAACGCACAAAAAAGGCCACAACTTACGATTAGCTGTTTGTAAATAAACCAGAAAGTTCCCCTGATATGCGACGTAAGAATTGCGTTGAGGTATCAGCTAAAATTTATGTGCGTAAACTCGTAAGACGATGAGAACACACCCACTGCAAGAGGCTGGACAGGAAAGGAACGATAGGACGGAGAAGATAAGAGATTATTAAAGCGATGAGACAACTATTCTTGATTGAATAATTGAAGTACTTGAGCTAAACAAACTAAGTCTATGAAATAATGACATCGGTGTATTGAGTACCTGAAAAAGAGATACATAAAGGAGCAACGGACGCAACGGCCGTAAAGAAAAGAAGGCCGAAACGGACGCGGTAATGGAAGAGTGGGCCGTCATCGAGCCGGCGACTGTTCACTTGAAGTGTCAGCTGTCGTCAGGCCAAGAAGCTGTTTATTTGCTTTGATGTTTTGAATTCTGTTCGAAGTCTTCGATGGTTGATTCGCATAATAATACTTTTGTCTATTGTAATTTCCATGTATAATTCCCGAGTCTATATCGTGCAGTTTTTTATATGGTTTGTTATCCCAAGTTTGAGGTTTGAATAAATTTCGGAACTTCGAGTTCGCCACATTAATTGTCTGGAAAACGGAGTCCAAACTAATCTTCGGGACAATCAAGTCCAAAGAAAGCATTCTCGGAGAGGAAGAATTCCGTCGACAGCATTCTCGTAACATCGTAAGATATTATTCAGAAGACGGGAACTAAGAGCAAGGAATAATATAGTCTGCAAAATAAGGTAATTGCAGAAAAAGCCACACATACATCGTACAGGACATCAGCTGTTCTGTAAATCGGAAAAAAATCTTAACATTACCATACTGCTATGTGCATTTATGCCGCAATGTCGTAAAATATAGTCCAGAAGACCGGCACTGCCCAGAGCAAGAAATGAATTACCAAGGAATAATGCACTCCGTAAAGGAAGACATTCCGACAACTTGACGGTGCTGGAGAGTGAAGTGGAAGAGAGAAAACACAAATTGATCCATTAAATAAACGTAATTATTGCGGATTTTTGACCTCAACAACACTGTTGCCCGGTGTGTCTTTGGCGCTTTCAACAGTTGTGCAAATTCTGCAACCTACAAAATGCACAGTAATAATTCTAGAGACCTAGAAGGATACCCAACAGGCGAATAGGTATGTGTCGGACATTTCGCACGATTACTCAAGCTAACCGAAGCCGTAAAGTATACCAAGTTTTTTACGATTAAGCAATGCCAAGTTATGATATAGTCGTAAATTTTTACAACTTGCTTTGTACGTATAGTGACAGAATCCGTAAAATAAACTAATTATCATCGTGACGTAAGCTACATCGTAAAGGAGAAGGAACACAGAACACTCAAGCTTTCAGAAACGAGACATTTACAAAGACGTAGATGCATAGTACTGCTCTTTTGCTCCAACAAGATTTTAGCAAATATACGTAAAAAGTGTTAGTACTACAGTCGGAAGTATGATGACATGATACAAGGCTTTTTTTATAAATTTCTAGATATAAAACGAAGCATTCAGAGAGTATAAGTCCGTAAAATAAACCTGCAAACCATCAAAAGAGGGGACACCGTAAATAAGTGCTTTGTAGTTTATTGCTATGGGAGTACGCAGTTCCCCTACAAAAAAAGACACTTGTCAAAGGCTCTAGCAATATACGATCGAATATACACCGTAATTAGACCGTTTTTTCTTGAAGTTTGTTGATAAATATCGTAATGATTCAGCTGGTATACATATGTTTCTGAACTCGGGGCTACGGCCGGGGAAGAACAACTCAAATTCTGGTAGCAGTGGAATTAGCAGAAAAAGCAGCGACAGAAATCGTAAAAATTGCTGATATTATTTGTAAAGTGTATCAAAACAAAAAAAAACGAAAACGAACCGTAAAAAACATTGTATATCATAGCAAACAACAGAATCACATCTCAAGACAGAACGAAATAAAAATGTCAATTTCAAAAAAACAGTAGCAGAACACACCGTAAGCTAACAATAAATCGATCGTGGTACTGTCACCGTCCACCACCTTTTACATGGCTGGGCGTAAACTTTCTGGTATCCATTTGCCTAATCTAACAATATTGTTCCCTAAACTTATTGTGGGATTCTACGTATTGTGTGGGGTTTTCATTGTCCTTCCACTGCACTACGCCGTGTAAGCTCTGATACTTCAGGGAGAAGTATCAGTATATATTCGCCGCGGTCTAAAGAGACCGGAAACCCACAGTTTTAACTAAAGTAGCTCATGCCTTATGCGGTCCGGATTGTAAGATTCACTCTTTATATTGTTGATGGTTAGTTTATATCTCGAGATTGTAAAGCTTGTGCGCGATAAGGAGAAGCACAGAACCTCAGCGCCGTAAGTCGCGAATACTGAAGAATGAAGGGTCTCCTGGTGTGTTGTTAGACGAAAATTACCAGGGAAATTCCCAATTACGTGGCCTCATCATTTGCCAACCAACGTCTGGCGAGACAATAAAGATATTGCAAATTTACACCTTACACCTTAGATTTCCCTCTGGCTACTCCTGAATATCTGTGCCGTTCCAGTCTCTTGCTTGAGCTCTGTTAAGAGGACGTGGCTTTGCCGGAGACCAGGCGTCCCCAGAGGTTCTCTGTAATTTGAAAATATCTTGTAATTGTCGCAGTTTCCGGCTATCCTTTTTGTATCAGAATATATTATTATTATATTATAATTGTCATCAAAAAAATTGATTCAGTCTAATATCTTCTTGGAATCAAAATCTTCTTTATTCAAAGCTTTCCTTATTAAAGATATTATAATAAAAAACTTGAATCACTTCAAAAACTTGTCACTAGAACTGTTGAGGCGGTCCTTCGGCTGCTATCTTCCGTATGAAGCTAGACTTCAAAAATTAAATCTTACTTCTCTAGAATCCCGCATTGTTTTTCTTGATTCAAAAGTCTTCAATAACATCCCTATGGGCAAGGTTTTAATAGCTGAAAATAAATTGTCTTCGCCCCAAATTTTGTGACTCAAGAACGCGGGACAGACATAAAGTTATTGTTCCTTATTCAAGGTCTTGTATTGAAGCAAATTTCTTTTACACTAGACATTGTAAGTCATAGTCACCTACATCAGGTCGGCAAACCCCGTAAAACGACCATTGTATATCATCGCAAACAACAACACCACATCTTAAGAGAGAATGAAATAAAAATATGAATTTCAAAAAAACTGTATCGCGATACAGTTTTTTTTCATCAATGTACAGTGACGGACCTGATCCAGTGGCAAAAAACGTACCATTTTGCATCCGGGAAGCATCGAAAATGTGGCAAACTGCTTCACTCTCCAAGTGAAAAAACTTGATTTTAAAATCTGAGTTTTTTCACTTGAAGAGGGAGGTATTTTGCCACATTTTTGATACTTCCCGGATGCAAAATGGTATGTTTTTTGCCACTGGATCAGGTCCCCCACTGTAACATAACTCACAATCATCGTCAGGCTTATGATGCCAAGAGCAAAACAACACTTAAAGCGCTTGAAAAGTGAATAGAACGCTAAGAAAAAAAGCATGACAGCGAGTTTTGCAGAAATTGCTACTAGTCGTTCCAGAAAGTGCGTGCACCTTTTTCCGCCTTTTTTTCGGACCGCACAGTGCAAGTTTCGTGTTCCCCGCGCGACGCGATCCTTTTCGAAACATTTTGCACTGTGCAATTTCTAAAAATTCGCGCCGGCTCCGTTGAGAAAAGCCTGCGTCGCTGCGACATTGCAATTGCACGGTGCAAAAGGTCAAATGCACCCCGCAAGAAGGCAATTTTGTGCACAGTGCGGCCCACGACAAAAAGTGCACGCACCTTCTGGAACGACTAGTATACCGTTGAGCATAAAATAGCGGGTACCCTGAAACATCATTATTTTACGTATTAGGGCAAGAAAACATTTTCTAGGTAGAGGTCTACGGAACTAGCAGTAGGCTGTACACTTACCACATGCAATATAAAATATTCTTCATAAAAGATCATCTTCATTCCGTTCTCCATCTTCCGCCCAGCAGTACGCGCCAAATGTTCGCGATGGTCCGTAAAACAAAGCGTCCTTTTCGATGCGGTTGCGTAATTGGGAGTCCACCATCACACTTGATGCCCGCCTCTTTTCAGCGCATGCGTTTTTCGCACGAGATGGAGTATGGAGCGTTTAGTGGTAGCAGCGATTAGCACCCATACTCGTTTTAGGGCTTGTCCAATCAAAATTCAGACCAGGCTAGTGAAGCGGAAAGCGAATTCACACTTACAACTCTGTCAAATGAGACTTGCGTAATGCTTACCACCACAAAAAATTTCAACACTACACTCAAAAAAACAAGCAGACTTACCAAAGAGGCCAAAATCCTTCATAATGTCAAGACTTAGCTATGAGTCGAGCCCCTAACTTGCCCTCTACTCCTAGTATTCACTACCCCTGATAACCCGGAGACACAAACTAGAGGATGACTCCAGCAATGAAACTGTGGACTCAGGCAAAATTGATTCCACTTTATATTCAAACAATTTCCTTTTTGAAGTTTTCAATCTAACATAGACTTCGCTAATTTCCATTTCCACGGAGAGGTTTTCTCCATTCAACCACACGCTTTCATAAAACACAACTTTTTCTTGATCTTCCACGTCTTTCACTAAATATATAATACATAGTATTTTAAAAAGAGAAAATAAAAGCATACATGCACGTTCCAGCTTTTCATTTTCGCTTTTACGTTGGCGTATTTGATCCATCTTCATCTCTTGTTCTATCTATTTGATTCGCTGATTCAGCGCTTGTAATTTACGGTAATACAATAACAAACAAAACATAAAAAACTTACGTGCACGCTGGAGTTTCTGATTTTTATTTGACAGGTTTTGCAACTGGCCCAACCTCAATTCTTTTTCGATGTCCTTGATTCCCTTTTGCAGATCCTGAAGCGGTTCCCTTGCTTTGGGCTCCCCTCCTGAAATAATATATATATTGTACCCCTCTGTACATAATATTATTTTACGTTACAAACAGTTTCTAGACGCTCTGTCTCCTCTTTCGTTCTTGGGGTGCTGTTCCTTTTCTCTCCCCTCCTGAAATAATATATATATATATAATAAAAATTTTGTAAGAAAAATACATTTTCAATTTGGTGCACACTCAAAAACAACAAACACTTACCAAACAGACCATGTTCTTTTACGACATCAAATAGTTTCCTGTTTGAAATTCTGAGGCGGCCGTATACTTCGCTTACGTTTTCTAATTCACTTATTTCTCTACTCTGCCGGAGAGTCTCAAGAAAAACGATCTTCTCCTGCCCTTCTAATTCGCTCACTAAAATAATATATTATACAAGGTTTTTATAAATTACAAACAAACAAAAAATAAAAACATACGCTGCCTCTTAATTCTCGTGTTTTCGTTGGAGAGAGCCTCCAACCTCAGCTCCTGTTCGATTACGGCCACTCTTTTCTGTAATTCTTGGATGTGACGATACATCTAAAATTCTTCAATATATTCGGAGGAAGATTCCTTGCCCCCCTCCTTAAAAACATCCCCTACCCTCCCTCCCCAACAAAAAATCATATAAATAAGAAAGACTAAGCTTTGTCTTATTTTGTCACCTTTTGGCTCCTCCCACATTAACCCTCTTTCTCTAAGGCTATAAGGACGGATGTTGCGGCCAGACGCCGCGATGTTTTTCTGTTACACCTCTAGACATACAACGCGCAATTCTTGCCTGAGCAGAAAAAAATAGAAAAAATCTGCACGGAGAGAGAGAACATATTGTTCAATGTTGCGCAATTTGAGGCGTCTGGTCGTTACCCCTATTTGATGCGTTTATCACCATTCTTACCATCTGTTCTCAAAAGACAGTGCAATTTGTAAAAAAAGTTTATTTTTTGATCTTCAGCACGGTAGTACAAAATAAAAAATCCATAACATGTACAACAGGTTTAGTGTATAGATCTGTACACTTGAAGAGTCCTTGAACACATGTAACACTAATATTGATGAACTCCGTTGATATCAAACCTTATGGCGTCCGTTTCTGCAATCTCGACAATAGTTCATATGGAATCTACAGGCTAAAACATGTTGCTTTTCCTCGACCTTTTCCATACAAATAATACATGTGGTGTCTCACATGATGTACTTCCAATGTAAAATAATTTACTTACTTAGCGTTGTGCAAGAAATAGTGTTGTGCAAAGTAATTTCTGATTCAAAGAGTCCGTCCATTTACGAAGTATCGGGCTTGTACGGCCATGTTGTAAACTTCGATGGAGAGTTCGGTATTCTCCTGATACGTTTCCCACATGAAAAACCGCATCAATTCCCCAGACTGGGGTTGTTTATTGAGAATCCACACCAGTTCTCGGTGTGTAGCTCGAAAATTAAACACATAGCGGTTTGGCGTTGCCGCAATATGCAACGCCGTCTTTTGAAACAAAAATTTGGCGTAGTCTCTGTTGCCCGCCATATGGACCTCCGGCAGAGACTGAATGAAATTTAATAGGGGCTCCTCTAATTTCTCAACGATAGATGTCTGTGTGATTGAATATTTTTCCTATGGTTCAAAACTTTTGGTGGAAAATATTGAAAGAGCAGAGTGTAATGATGAATTTAAATTTCGTTTTATGTATTAATAAGTTATTCAACGTCTTCATTTTTATGAACACGGGAGATATTTTTTCTCCGATTTTGTTCTTGCGTAAAATATCTCATATCAAATTGAGAAATGCGCCATTACCTTTGACGTATGTGTGCAATAATACAGCAACATAGTCAGGACGCATTGGACCCTGAATACTACTCACAATGAGCTCAAACTTCAAGCTTTGCTCAGCATGATGATTTACCGACATGAACTTGTGTTGAAAATTTTTGTGGAGTCCTTCTTGTGGCATTCTCATCATTTTTCGCAGGTTTTCAAAACAATAAACCGCAAGTGCGAAAAAAGCGCTTGGCCGATCGGAAGGGACAATAGAAAACAGATCGCGCCACTTCTTTTGGCCGTCTCGAAAAATTAGGAAATCGCCGAAAAATCGTTCTTCTTGGCTTTTAATTTTTAGGGGAAAGCTGTATTTTTTCGGTTCCTATTGGTATCTGTGTACCAGGAAACCTCCGTATAACAAATCTCACGGAACGAAAAAATATAATTTGCTATAGGAAAGATTTTGTGAAGTGGCCAAAAAATTCTTTTTCTTGACTTTTCATTTCGGAGGAAAAGGCTGCTTTTTACAGAAGAAAACCTCCGTATAACAAATCTCATTGGACCAAAAAAGGATTTGTTATAGAAAGGTTTTATTGTACAGAGGTTCATTTTGGCCTAAAATCGGGTTTTATGGCCCTTGAAATGTTTCATTGGGGAAAGGTTTTGTTGTACACAGCACGTCAAACTGAGATAAGCTAAAAAAGTCCGGTGAATGGATTGGCAATTTGCCAAAAAAAGAGGCGAAAAAACGTTTCGTCGGGGAAGAAATGGGGAATTTTTGGGGCGAGAGAGTACGCTTTTGCGTGCCTTTTTCTCTCTTTCTCTGCAAAATCAAGACGAAGTGTAAAACACCGATAGCGAAGGGCCTATTCCGGTCACCGGTCTCCTCAGTTTGACGTGCACAGGCTTTACCGAGTTTTCTATAAACGATTTCCGTTCTTTTTTTTTATTAATTAAAGTATCCGAAGCAGCAACTAAATTTTCTTTAAATGACCGGCTTTACAAATTTTTGTGGACTTCAATTTGACGGATTAAACATAGAATTTTGGGGAACCTGCGAAAAATATTGAATTTATGCTACGAAAATGCTGCCTTGGGTCATTAAACATGTTTTTGTTTGTTTATTTATACATTTTTTTCGGAATTTTTTGAGATAATTTACTGAAAAAAAATGTATAACATAATATTTACTAATATTTTTTATTATATTTAACTTGAGATATATATTTTTAAGTTGATTTATTATATATAATACGTAATATATGAATATATTTTGCTTGATTTTTATCACCTGATATATTACAAATGTGTCTTTCTTATTAAATATATATTACTATATAATACATATATATGCATATATTTTTAATTTTTCACGTTAAAGATGCGCGATTTTAAAGTATAATAATAATGAAAGATTTCGATAAAACCGAACTTTTTTTGTCAAAAAAGAATGGACCTTTTTAGGTCATCTATAAGACATTTAAAATATAAAATACGGTAATAAAATATAAAAGAACCTCAAAACCCCTCGGCCCCATCCTGTCGGAGGGCCTAGATATGTCGTCCGGGGGTCACCACACCCCAACTTATTACGTCGACTGGCCATACCAATCGGGCATTCACCTCGATCGGGCCCTTGACCTAGTTTCATCATCGAGGAAAGGGGCGGAGTCTGAACCCTTAACTAAAATTAATTTTTCGGTTTCAAACCGACAGGGGAAGTACTCCAAGTGCGACGCTCAGATTTTCTTTAAATTTTGCATACACGTCGGTCATCATCTAAGTATCAATTCCTGAAAGTTGTAGCTCGCGCTTTGCAGGCGCCGCCGAGATATCGAACGATTTTTGCCGCCGAGAGAGCACACTAAACGTGGAGAGGGGTCAGAGAGAAAAACGGTTTTTGGTCATAACTTTGGCAGTTTCGTGCGGAAAATTTTGATTTTTTGTAGAAACATTATCCTTTACGGTTGAAATAGGCATGAAACTTTTCGTGCCGAAATTCGGCAGAAAGTCCTAAATTTTCGCCGACTTTCGATCTAAAAATCTCGGTTGTTTCTGCAAAGCGCAAGCTATGATTCTCGCATATATCTTAGAAAAAATTACTCTAAATTTGTGCCAAGTTCCGTCAAAATCTGAGCGTCGCACTTGGAGTACTTCCCCTGTGAGATGGTCAACATGCTTACGGCAAAATATAGATACTATATATACTTGGTCAAATGAACCTCTGTACAACAAACTATTAACCAAAAGCTTTCTTCTACTCCTGCTCAAAAGTTCGAGCAATTCCCGTACAATGCGAAAATTTGGGTTTGAATTTATCGCCGGCGGTTTGAAAAAAAATTTCATCGTATAAGATGTCACACCTCATTTTTTCAATTTTCAAAATGAGGGGGAGTGTTCAAAAAGAGGGAGGGTTCATTAAAGGAACAGTGTTCAAAAAGGGGGAGCGTTCAGATTGAGGGAAAGTTCAGAAAAGGGGGAGAGTTCTGCCGCAACGAGCAGAAACAAGGGAATTGCGGCGACAAACTCAAAAAATCAAAGAGAGATGCAGACGAAAATAAAAGAAATGCACAGGAACTGTCCGAACTTTTGAGCGCGAGTGGTACGACATGAATCAGATTTTCGAAACCCAAAATTGGGCAGCTAATTTTACAGGAAATAGGTTTTTTGTTTGTTGTTCCCCCGCGAGTTTATAACGCCCTTATATCCTTGATCAGCACAATTTTTCGGATTTTTTGAGATATATCTCGTCGAAAAAGTAACCCCCATAAAAGTAGTTTCCTTATTAGTAACAACCTTTTTAAAGCCACTTCCAGACTTCAATTGATTCAAAAATTTAGAATTTTCAGCAATTAATTCATTCGATTTGGCACTTTTTACATTTACTTTATTAACATTATTATCAGTAGTAAAATTTTCTTCATTTTTAACCTTTGTAACATTTTCTACATTACCATTATCATCAAACAAAATCATCCCTATTTATTAAAGAATATTATTTTTATCAACACTGTGTTCGCACCAGCCCTGATGACCAGAAGAAGAACGTTATCGAGATCGGTGAAGAAGAATGATTCGACGCTCTAGTTTATCCAAACTGATAAGTGAATTTTAATTTAAATTTCATGTTTGATTTTATTGTGTACAACCGGGCTGAAAGATAAAAATATGTTAACCTTGACGACCAGTTTTTATTAATATCGATTGAATACTCGTAAAACTGAAAAATTCGTGCCAAAATCATCAGTGGAACGGTGGATCAACTGCAAGGCCGAGAGGCGGATTACGCCGTCTACGTCACCATCAAGAGCCTGTCAGGAAACGCGGGCCCAGCATTTGCTACGCTGGGTCAGCGTGTCACCGTCGCATTGACAAGAGGCCGCGACGGCCTTTATATCATCGTCAGCAGGCCTTACATTAAAGCCTGCTCCTATGAGATGGCTCAACTTTGGGACTTAAATGAACTCTAAGTTCATTTCACTTCCGGGGAGAGCATTCAAAATGCCCTGCTCTCCCCGCCAACATATTTGGTTCACCTATATATTTTTCTACAAAACCCTGGAAAAAAAAGGGCCAGGGAAGTATCAAGGAACGCCGCGCAATCTACGATCTACAATCAACGTCGAGAATTTCAACGTCTGCAGCCGACCCCTTTATCTGCACTTTTTAAAGACGAGGGCGGAATCAAGCGGAAACTGTAAGTCAAAGCAATATATATTAGCGGAAAAAATGCCCACTTCACCTCCCGAGGCTTCTGGCGGCGTAGAAGTGGCGCTCAACTGGTAGCAGCGAGTGGTTGCGATCCACCGACCTCTGGGTTATGGGCCCAGCACGCTTCCACTTCGCTGAACTCTTGCAAAACAAACGTAATTTAGATTGGGCAAGAGAGCAATGGTATCGAGAATCAGCTTTACCTGGGATTATAGGGATCGTAAAGTCGTAAAAAAAAGACGCCCATATCGGATCAACTTGGAATTTCAATGTAATTTGGAGGAGACAGTCTCAATGGGCTTTGATAAATACACTCGAACTGCCAGACGTCCAGAGGACGTAGTAACCGTAAGAGTGATGGTACGATGGGCAGAAATGCATGCCAAGACACTTCGTTGGGATGAGGAATCGCCAAAAGTTTCTAATCTATGATCTTTCCAGACTCTTTTCATTGCGAAGAGAATTTTTATTGCAAAGTCGATGGCACCCATACTCTTTCGACGGCCTGGCTTCCTCAGTAGAAAGAAGGATCAATAATTCACTTCCACTGCTTGCCCAGCGATACGGTGGAATCTAAGATCATAACTCCCATCTCAACATCGATGAAGCCTCAAATGGTAAATATTATGTGCTGTTAGTCGCTGTTGGTCTTCCATTTCTGATTGCGCTTCTTGTTGTCTCTCTGTCTGGTTGCTTTCGGGAGTGTCTTCGACGCACGCCTCGAATAACAACATTGTCTCCTATTAGGCCACGCCCCTAGAAGAACTTCATTCCACTAAATATTATTGATTTTAGGCACATTTTTCACTGCCAAAGTAAAAGGGAAAGGGATAAAAAAATGGCGTGATCTAAAAAAAGAACAAAGAGCACTCAAATGTCCTAAAGGAATTCGGCCGCGATCGGCCACAAGACGCCTTATCAAGGGCTCAGTCTCAGCCAAGAAGGCGGGGGAAAACAAACCTGGCCTGATCGAAAGCCGCAAACGGGGCGTAAGAATTGTAAACTAGGCCAATACGGTTGGAAAACGAGCATTCCTGGTCCGGACCGGCGCAAATCTCTTTGCGTCTTCCAAATTGGAAAGCCACTGTTCCAGTGTGTAAGTTCCATCGACCTACGTGCGATAAAAAAGGGTGCAGGTTCCACCCGACTCAACCCTTCGAATGTCAACCGGAATTGAAATTGAAATAGCATCGAGATATTATGAAAAATACACTACAATGCGATTACATGTTATCATTTTTAGAACAAGAATACACGACAACACCTACAGGGATGCCGTGCCAACAAAAGGCAAAATAACGATTCACTGGAGTCTACAACAATGCGCTGACGACGTCTTTCCACAAGGGCGTATCATGGACGTTCGCGGACAAGGCACAAAGAATTCCAGAGCAAAGAATTGCATGTCAAGTCGTCTTCACCAACAAGTTCATTGCAATGGCTCTAGCGACAACGGAAAGATATGGAGAATTCCCAGAAGCGGTTCAGATTGGGCATTTTGAGTCAGAGCACCGCCGATTCCTCGCGGCGGGGACAACGCGCTCGGGGTTTTTGATTGGTTGGTTCTCAGAAAGGAAGCAGGAATATGCGGAAATTATTTTATGGCAGAATAACACTGGCTCTCCATGAGTCACAAAAAAGGAAAAAAAAGAGGTGAACACGTTTGTCTTCACTTTGACCGTGAATTCACGGGGATTCCTTTTACTTTTGGATTGCTTTCACTTCACCCACCCGTAGTCTTCCTGGACACGGACTCGCCGGAAAAACGCGTCCAATTTTCCTACTCCAATCCGGGGCAGATCCAAAAGGCTTTCGACTACCTTCGTCTTCTGTGCAAGAGAATCTCTGGACTTGCGCAAGGATCCCTCTCTGCAGCGGGGATCTCTCCCTATGCGGCGGCGGTCAATGAAGCCAGAAGTGCCATGCCAAACCTCATGTCCGACTTTCCCAGCCTCAAGCTTTCCGTCGTCTCCATTGACCAGATCCAAGGGAAAGAAGTGAGCATCGCAGTGTTCATCACCACCAGAACTGCCGGGAAATCTGCAGCCAGCTTCGCGACTTATGGGCCCCGAATAACAGTCGCCCTCACAAGGGCGAGAGATGGTTTGGTGGTCGTTGGTCACAGAGCGTTCATTATGGAGTCCAGTCCCGAACTTGCCCGCCTGTTGGAAGCAGCCCAACTTTAATCACCATCATTCCCCCGACTATATCACTTAACCTTGTTTTTTTTTGTATATCCTTTAGCTGCCATTGTCTCCCTATACCTCTCTCCTCTCCAACATAGCCATTGTAGTCTAGTCCATCCCTTTCCCGATTGTCTTATTGTAGTCTCTAGTCCTTCTATTTTTAGTCATTCTCTTTAGTTCTGTTGTACTCGGCCTCTCTGTCTGCTGTTTTCAGAGGAAACCCGAGATCGACTTGGTGAAAAAGGGTGGAGGGGTGGTATAGCATGTCAGACGATGGTCCAGTCCAAGGAAAAGGAAAAGGGTATAGTAGTGAGAATTTGGTGCTCCCGCATTCTCTCGGCCCGAAATTTATAAAGGATATAATAACTTTGCATGCGTAAAACCGCTATAAGGTTGGTTCAAACATTTCATGTAAATCTCTCTTCTTTTATTGGATTAGCTTTCATTGTAAAAATAGTAAGGATATGTGAGCCATGAAGACTTGATAAGAATTGCGGGAACTTTCGCTACAGTCCCATGGTTTTGTCGTTGTAATGCGGCCAGGAGGAGCAGGAGGAGGAGATTGTTGTTGATGAAGCTGTTGGCCAAGGTGAAGAGCCAGAAGAAGCCACCGATGGGGAAGAGGGGGCCCCGGCCGAGGGATTGTCTGAAGAGAGAGTAGGAGAAGAACCCACCGGGACTATGTCCAATGGTGTCAGCTGCACTTCAGTCATTTGCGGCACATTCAAGAGGAAGGTGAGTAAAAAAATTTTTGTTTGTTTTTAATTTTGGGAGTGGGGCGGACGTCATAAGACGATTAATTGTTATGATTTTTCAGCACTGAACCTGTTGGAGAACGCCGATAACGGCCCGCTCGGCCGGTACAGCCGGGCCGTCCTGGGGGTCTCCATTCCGGAGTGCCCCTTGGTAACCGGCGGCTGGACTCCCGGTCGGCGGTTCAGGACCCGTGCGGCACGGGAGACTGCGGTTTCCCAGTTGCGCGGCCTGGCGCCGCCCGTCCTGCAGCCAGCCGACGGTCCGGCCGGCTTGCTGGCCGACGCTGAATGGCAGCGTCGTGTTGTTTGTTGTTTGTGTTAATTTTTGAATTTTAAGTCGTAATAAAGCTGTTGTTGGACAAACAATGGACACTTTCCTTTCTTCAATTATTGGGTTGGATAATAACTGGGTAGGGTGGGGGCAGTAAATTAAAAGAGCCAGTAGCCTATCGGACTCAGGCTAAAACACCGGAGAAAAGAAAATTAGGAATTGAGGGCATTACAGAGTGGTAAAGCAAAATTACGCCCCAAATCTGACAATTCCGACTCAAATCAGGAACTGCTGGTGTCAAGTGATGATGAGGAAAGTTATTAGAAGCGTTAAATTTCGCGGGCCGAAATTAGAGTTCAAAACTTTAGTGAGTACGTGCTCAGGTCGTTAAAGATTTTGGACCCACAAACTTTTGCTAAATTGACGACAAATCTTTGTGCAGTATCATTTGGTCTAAAAGAGGATTCTTAAACGCTCCGCCGCCCTGTCATAAATGTATATACATCCGCGAGCATCTGATCTGCGTTGTCTACCGCCGAGAGCGGATGATTTTTATATCCTTACAAAGCCAATTGTGAGCTCTCAAAGCTCTGTAAGTTCCATCGACCTACGATCAAAGCTCTCTACATCTTGTGACGACACTGAGATTTGGATATAATCACTTTGCGCTCGTAAAACCGCTATAAAGTTTGTTCAAACATGTCATGGAAATCTCTCTTTTATTGGATTAGCTTTCGTTGTAAAAATAGTAAAGATATATGAGCTATGAAGACTTGATAGGAATTGCGGGAACTTTCGCTACAGTCCCATGGTTTTGTCGCTGTAATACTGTCGCTTCAGCAGCGAAAAATGTCTGAAGATGTTTTGAAATGCAGTAAAGTGCTGTCTTCATTTCGGGGGTGTCTTCGACGCACCCCTTGAATAACAACATTGATTGCCTTTTTTAGTGAACAAACGAAGATTTTCCCAATGGCTCGTAAAAATGATGAACAAACCCATATCCTCGGTCAAGAAAATCTCGGACCCGGAATACGGTAAGAGTTGAGGATTTTATGACCTTATAGCGGGAAAAATATGTTGTGAAGTATTTCACCAAAATTTTTCAGCCAAATCTAAGCCCGCTATTCGGCCGCAATTTCGATGCGCAAACTCCGATACGACCAAGCCCTGCGACAATATAAAGCCTCGTAAATTTTGTGCCAAAAATGTATTGAACACGAATGGACGTCATAAGACGATTAATTGTTATGATTTTTCAGCACTGAACCTGTTGGAGAACGCCGATAACGGCCCGCTCGGCCGGTACAGCCGGGCCGTCCTGGGGGTCTCCATTCCGGAGCGCCCCTTGGTAACCGGCGGCTGGACTTCCGGTCGGCGGTTCAGGACCCGTGCGGCACGGGAGACTGCGGTTTCCCAGTTGCGCGGCCTGGCGCCGCCCGTCCTGCAGCCAGCCGTCGGTTGCCGACGGTCCGGCCGGCTTGCTGGCCGACGCTGAATGGCAGCGTCGTGTTTTTTGTTGTTTATGTTAATTTTTGAATTTTAAGTCGTCGCTAATAAAGCTGTTGTTGGACAAACAAACCGTAATCTTCCGTTTTCTGGATGGATTCAGCTCGGGCAGCGTTTTATGGCATGGGAAAGAGCCTTAATTCGTAAAAAAAAGAACAACAAAAACATGTGATGGTTCTACTAGTCCTTTGCGATAAATCCTTCGTTGTAGGATTACGTGAACGTAAAGCAGCCAATCCCGCAGGGGTTAGGATTGATTGTCGTAAAGGGAAAAAGGATAATCAGCTGAAAAGCGCAAATCAAGGAATGATCGAGATGGCGGAATCAGCCGTCGCTGCAACTGTGAGCAGTGTGCGAAAAAACCATCAGAAGTTGATGGAGCAAGCAGTCCGACAAGAACAGCTGTCGCAGGCTTTGGCTGGAAATGAAAGTCTGGTAAGTCGAAATGAACATGAAAAAAAATCGATCTTCGGGTCACTATTAGCTGAAAACATTTTAGCAATTGAAGAAGATGAAGCTGTTTGTGCAGTGGACTTCTCCAACTTAATGAAGTTTTACTCAGGAGAAGGTGAAGAGACCTTCGCCGAATTTATCCAAAAGTTTGAAGATTTTGCAGCTCAGCAGTCTACAGTGTGGGATGACAAGACAAAATTGGCCAAGCTGAAGCTTCTGCTGACAGGTGAGGCAAGGGAGAGGTTCGAAACCGCGTGTCAAGGTTCGGCAGACGCTCTGACGTACGCCGATGCGAAGAAAAATCTGCTTCAAAGCTACAAACTGGACAGCGAGCACTCAGAAGTTCTGAGTGAACTACACTCAATCAGACAGGGGGATGGCGAATCGGTGGACGATTTCTATGTGCGAGTCAAAAAGATGGTGAGTCGACTAATGCCGGATAGTACTCCTGAAGCCTTGAAAAGTCGGTGTAAGGAAGAATTTGTCTTTAGATCACGCGATGAAATTTCCAAGCCGGTGCAGCGGGTAGATGTTCCCACCTTGGAAGCAGCTAGGCAGAGGGTTCGAACAATTGAGAGCTCCCTGAGGCGATCCGAGCTACAGAGGACAGAGGATGCTCTGAGGAAGCTGGGACTCGGTGTTAATGCGGCCATGGCCGTCCCAGGCGCTGCTCCACCTGTGGGGTATGTCATGCCCAAGCCGGCCCAAAAAGGCCTGAGTGGACGATACAGGGGATCAGCGGTCCTTGTCTCGAACTCAGCGCAGCAAGAGCCCGCGGTACCCAGGGCGAACCCTGGCCCGGCGCCTGGGGGCCGCGTTGGTCTTCAACTTTGTAACCGAGTATAGGCAATAAATTGTTGTACGTAAAAATGTCGTAATTTTTACGTTTGGAGTACATAGAAAACAAGTGTCGCTAGACGCAGTTTTTTGTTGAAATTTGGCACCATACAGGGTCTCAATTTACCATGATGTTAATATTCAAAGAATTTGGTTCCGGTTTGTTAAAAGTTGGCTTCGATCCGGTCATTGATACAGTCTTTGATCCCTTTATTTCATAAGGGCAGTCAAGTACAAAATTAAATTTTTTACTTCAAAAAGGGGACGTAATCGGGGCTCTAGTTGTACGGCACCTTGCCGAGCTGGAAATATATGAGACGATTCTGGGCCACAATTAGTTCGTTGAGGCGCTTCAGTTCAGCGAGCAAAAAATGGTTAATATTGTGCTGGTGATGCTTGATAGAAAGAAGAGTTTGGAAAAACTTAAATTTTCTGTTAATATATTCCATGGTAACAGAGATTTCGAGTGACAGTCACCCGTCATAAACCTCCCACATCATGAATGAAATAATGAGATTGTTGAACGTACACAAAAGAACATGCACACCATATCACTTACATGGAAATGGAGCCGTAGAAGGGATTTTTAGGACATTTCAACAAATGCTGACAAAAGCAATGAGTGAAACCGTAATGGACTCTGATCAATTATTGCCATCAGCTACATTCAGTTACAACTGTACTCTACATGACAGTACTGGGGAGACACCGTTCTTTATGGTATTTGGACGAGACCCAGTGTTGCCTTTCAATAACATTCTACATAACACGAGAAAATGGAGATTTTCGGAACATGAAATGTACAAAGCAAACCAAGACGATTAATTGTTATGGTTTTTCAGCACTGAACCTGTTGGAGAACGCCGATAACGGCCCGCTCGGCCGGTACAGCCGGGCCGTCCTGGGGGTCTCCATTCCGGAGTGCCCCACCGGCGGCTGGACTCCCGGTCGACGGTTCAGGACCCGTGCGGCACGGGAGACTGCGGTTTCCCAGTTGCGCGGCCTGGCGCCGCCCGTCCTGCAGCCAGCCGTCGGTTGCCGACGGTCCGGCCGGCTTGCTGGCCGACGCTGAATGGCAGCGTCGTGTTGTTTGTTGTTTGTGTTAATTTTTGAATTTTAAGTCGTCGCTAATAAAGCTGTTGTTGGACAAACAATGGACACTTTTCTTTCTTCAATTATTGGGTTGGATAATAACTGGGTAGGGTGGGGGCAGTAAATTAAAAGAGCCAGTAGCCTACTGGCTTTTTAAGTTCCATCGACCTACGATCAAAGCTCTCTACATCTTGTCATGACCCTGCGATTGGGATATAATCACTTTGCGCTCGTAAAACCGCTATAATGTACAATGAGAAATGTACAAGGGCAAGTTGGGAATCCGTAGCCAAAATCATGGAAACACAAACAGCAAAAATGGAAAAGAAATACGACAAGCATTCTAAGAAAATCACATATTTTTTTTCAATTCTGTGGTCGTGCGTTGGCCTTCAACTAAATATCACTTGCAGCAACGAACTGTAAAAGAATTATAACGTGCAACTAATTTTTTTAAAAAATCTAAAATTCATCAAAATTTCGTTTAAAATTTCTCCATTTCCTCAGAGATCGTTCAAGCCAAAGTTAAGCTCATTGTTAGGAGCTTGTGGTCGATCTTCTTTCAAAATTTTTTTGTGGCCGGGCCTCAAAAAATCTGCCGTCCAGTTTTCTATTTAGATATCAGTCCGTCGGGAAAATAATGAGCACACAGCGATTGTGTCTTTGAAGTTAAAAAATTTTTTTTCAAATGTAAAGATTAGCCTGAACTTGAATTCTCGTTGAGTTCAAAATTCACGCCTTGTTCAACTTGATGAGTTTGCGACATGAACTTGTGTCCGAACTTCTTGTGGAGCCCTTCTGTGGCATTCTCATCATTTTTCGCAGACTTTCAAAACAATAAACCGCTGAGCTCGAAATAATCACCAGGCCGATCGGAAGGGACAATAGAAAACAGATCGCGCCACTTCTTTTGGCCGTCTCGAAAAATTAGGAAACCGCCGAAAACCCGTTCTTCTGGGCTTTTAAAACACGATTTTTGAGTCAGGGCACCAGCGGTGGTCTTAGGAAAAAATCGATTTTGAGATTTTTGGCTTAAAATAGTCGGTAGCACTTGTGGAAGAAAAGCTAAAAATATTTTTGCCCAATTTTGCCCGGAAGGCATATTTTTTTACAAAATACGTTTTTACACTTCAAAGCCTCTGGAGGCCGATGTGATCCGACCACAGAGATCAAACCTGGCATACAGGGGTTTTTGACACCCAGGAATCTGAAAATCGTAGCATTTTTACCGTCAGATTACTGTAACATGGTCATACTGTAATCCGGTCGATAAAAATCGACGATAACTTCTTTAGATCAAAAATGCCACAGGATTTTATTGCAGATTCGGAATCAGCATAAAATTCTGCTTCGGATACATGTAAAATATGTTAAAAATTCCGTGGCCCAACCTCTGTAGTATAGTGGTTGTGCGCCAGGATTATCAATCTGGCGACCCAGGTTCGATTCCCGGTGGCTGCAAATGGCAGAAAATGGACTATAAAAGGGCGGAAACTTGGAAAAAAGGGAAAATAAATTACAGAAAATTAATTTTATGCTAATTAGGAGCAGTTTAAGAGTTTTTACAAGAATTCCGCATAAATTACGGTTTTTATGGAAAACGCCTTATAGCTTGACGGAAAGTGGAGCAATCTGGTTAAAATTTACAGAAGAGGTTACTGAGGCTTCCTACTACAAAATAAGTCCATTTCTGCTTATTTCGTTAAATTTTTGGGATAGCCTGGATTTTCTTTCAAATTCGGGATTTTAAGAAGGCGAGCTGCGGCCGAGGTTTATCGAACGGAACAATATTTGACCAAAAAGTCATATAAGTTTCACAAAAAGTCATATAAGATTCCCTAACAGCACCGGGATCACACAGCTTGCAAAACTTAGGCCGTCTTGCGTATCCCACGAAAAACGGAGCGCGTGGACGCTCTAATGATAAATCTACATGGAGACTCAGTTAGCAAGGAACAGAGGCTAAATTACGGGACTGTAACATGCGTGCTTCCTTCTGAAAACCAAATAATTGTTTTATTTTGTTTTGTATTACATTCCTCGACGGATTTGAAGAATATTGCATAGCAAGCGTTATCTAGATTCACCACAACTCTTTAGTTGCCATTTGGGGCGATCTTACGAATGCTGTGAGGCGTTTTCCATAAAAACCGTAATTTATGCGGAATTCTTGCAAAAACTTTTAAACTGCTCCTAAGTAGCATAAAATTAATTTTCTGTAATTTATTTTCCCTTTTTTCCATTTTTCCGCCCTTTTATAGTCCATTTTCTGCCATTTGCAGCCACCGGGAATCGAACCTGGGTCGCCAGATTGATAATCCTGGCGCACAACCACTATACTACAGAGGTTGGGCCACGGAATTTTGAACATATTTTACATGTGTCCGAAGCAGAATTTTATGCTGATTCCGAATCTGCAATAAAATCCTGTGGCATTTTTGATCTAAAGAAGTTACGGTCGATTTTTATCGACCGGATTACAGTACAACCACGTTACAGTAATCTGACGGTAAAAAAGCTACGATTTTCAGATTCCTGGGTGTCAAAAACCCCTGTATGCCAGGTTTGATCTCTGTGGTCGGATCACATCGGCCTCCAGAGGCTTTGAAGTGTAAAAACGTATTTTGTAAAAAAATATGCCTTCCGGGCAAAATTGGGCAAAAATATGTTTAGCTTTTCTTCCACAAGTGCTACCGACTATTTTAAGCCAAAAATCTCAAAATCGATTTTTTCCTAAGACCGGGCCCCACTACTGGCTGACGCAGTGACTCAAAAATCGTGTTTTAATTTTAGGGGAAAGCTGTATTTTTGGTTCCTATTGGTATCTGTGCACAGGAAAAGCTTCATATAGCAAATCTCATGGAACGAAAGAATATAATTTGTTATAAGAAAGATTTGTTGTAGAGAGGTTCATTTGCCGTCTAGAATCGGATTTGAGACCCTTGGAATTTTTTTGTTGTAGACAGGTTTTGTTCTATAAAGACTTAGCTGGATTTTTCATAGACGGGTTTCGTTGTACGGAGGTTTGTTCTACAGAGGCTCCACTGTAATAGTAGAGGTAATATGTATAATATCTACGACATTTTTCTTTTTTGGTTTTTCTAATGTGTATGTATTCAAATTTAAAGTTTTATCGGCTTTTCCAAAATTTTTTGTGCATAATCCGTCAACTCGATGTAAAATTTTTATAGGCAAGTCTTCGAAATTTTGGATACCAAATTTCTTGAAAATGACTGGCTTCACGGGTTTTTGTGAACTACGAATTGACGAATTATGCATGAAATTTCGGGCATTGGATCTTCAATCTGAATTTATACTTTGTAGAAAAACTGCTTGTGCTATTACCCATGTTTTTACTTGTTTATTTATATATTCTTTATTTGGAGTTTTCATTGAATTTACTTACAATCTTGTTATGATATAATATTCGCATTATATAATAATAATTGAAATATGTGTACATTTTTATTCATTAATTTATGTATATACATAATATATGAATATATTTTGCTTTATTTTTGTTCTCTGATATACTAAAAATCTTTCATGCTCAATATATATTACTATATAATACATACATATATGTAAATGTATATGTTTAATTTTTATAATGAAAGATATGCCCTTTGTTAAATGTGAATACAATAATTGAGCAAAATATATGATAAACGATTTGACAATAGGTAAGACAGGAATGTTGAGTGGGCGGCTCTGTACAATAAACTCTTTACCAAAACCTTTCTCCTGCTCGCACTCAAAAATTTTGACAACTCCCGAATAGTGCGAAAGTTTGGGTTTGAATTTCATCGCGTCGTTTTGTCGCGCGCAAAGGTGCAAGTCGCTTTTTAAAAAAAATGGGGAATTGCGGCGACAAACACGAAAAATTGCATCGGCCCGGCCCAGCCCGGAAGCCAAGTTTAGGAGTCGCTAGAGGCCGTTGCTTCATTTTCAACTGCTTTTAGCACTTATATGCATGGAAAAGATTGTAAAGGAGCTCATTCTTTGTTAGAAAAAATATTTTTAGAAAAGAATGGTTTTTCAGTAAGACATTGGATGTCTTGATGAATAATTTCGCTGGTTTTGAACCCTGATCCGCGGTCCTCTTCGATAATCCGAGGCGCTAATTTTGGCCGGTTATTTTTGGTAAGATTAATCTGTGTGCGTGATTTCTTGGCCCTTTTGTTTCCTTGCACTTCATAATCTCAGGTGATGATTGGAAATCTCCCACGGGATTGGAACGCGGCCTAATGGATCCATGGGCGCGGATCCCTTACAACGTCTTGTATGGAGTCCCTATAAAAAGGCGTAAGTACCCCGATTGATGCTACGCCCGAGAACGTGCCACAACTTCTGTTGTCGTCTGCCAAACATCGATGGTCCCTTCTTCGTAAACGGGCCAGCGTCCGAGACCCACCAAATTCTCCTCTACTACGATGTCCCGTTGTATCTGGATAGTAAGGTGTGTAGGTCGCATTTTGCTTGTCTTGATGTTTGCGTGTCCATCATAACATTGATTTTTGATTTCAGTGTCTCACGGCAACAAATCACTGGATGCCCCGCCCAGGATCAAGAACTATATAAGCCAGTTTCAACGCCTCTGTCGCGTACACAGCGAAAAAATATCTGAAGGCGTTTGCTGTAAAGTGGCGTCTTGTTTCTTTCTCCAAAAATTTCCCCTGAATAGATTTCAAAATAGATAGGCCAAATTTATCGGGATAGGACAGGCCGTCTTGATATTTTTTATACAATTTTTCGATTATATTTTTTACATTGTTCTATATAATTGTCGATTGTATTATATTATTTTCTTTTCGCGCAAATTTTTGTTTGGTTTATTAACCCAAGTTTGAGATTTGGAATAAAAAATTGGCCAACATCGAGTTGCCAACATGTCGAATTATTGGACAACAAAGTTCAATAATTATTTATTGTCGAGTACAACGGAGTCGCGGCGACACCTCATCCGAAACGTTCACCGGA